GTCATGTCTCCTTGAGTTTCTCCTCTGGGCTATGACAGTTTCTCAGACTTTCCTTGCTTTTGATGACCTTGATAGCTTTGAGGAGGACTAGTCGCATTATTCTATAGAATATCCCTCAATCGGGATTTTTCTGATGTTTTTCTTAGGATTAGGCTGTAGTTATGGGTTTTGGGGAGGAAGACCATGAGGTAAAGTGCTGTTCTCATCACATCATATGTAAGATACAGTAGTGCGTCACTTCACTACATTCTGAGAAATGTGTCGTTAGATGATTTTGTCATTGTGCAAACATCATGGAGTGTACTTATACAAACCTAGGTCGTATAGCCTCCTACACGCTTAGGCTGTATGGTACTAATCTTATGGGACCTTCATCATATATGCAGTTAGTCATTGACTGAAATGTTGTTATGTGGCACATGATTGTACATACCATCAACATGGCCTACCTGTTGATGTCAACCTTGATCATCTGATTGAGGTAGTGTTTGTCAGGTTTTTCCACTGTAAAGTTACTCCTTCCCCCGCCTTTCCATACTGTACTCTTTGGGAAGAGGTCACTAGGCACCACCCACACCTTAGGAGTGGGGGGTTATGCTCCACCTTCTTGAGAGGGGAGTATATACATAAATTACTTGGAATTCTTCTACATAAGAGATTTGCCTTGGAGCCGGCCTGGTGGCACAGTGGTTAAGTGCACACGTTCTGCTTTGGCAGCCCAGGGTTTGCCGCTTCGGATCCCAGGTGCGGACATGGCACCACTTGTCAAGCCATGCTGGGTAGGCGTCCCACATATAAAGTAGAGAAAGATGGGCATGGATGTTAGCTCAGGGCCAGTCTTCCTCAGCAAAAAGAGGAGGATTGGCAGTAGTTAGCTCAGGGCTAATCTTCCTCAAAAAAAACCAAAAAGATTTGCCTTTTCCTCCCCTATTTATTTATTTATACCAGTTTGGATTAATGGATATTTATACTTTGGGTTTTAATCCAATAATACTTTATCTTGTTGCTCAAATTGTTCTAGCTTTGGTTATTGTGAGCTGTTTCACTTGGCTCCAGTGTCCCCTTGACATATCCCCATCATTTTGGTGCTTTCTTTGTTTTTTTTTTAAGCATTTCCTTATTTTCTGGTGCTACAAGATGCTCCAGGCTCTTCTTGTATATACCCTGCCCCAGCTATAGAATCAGACATTTCAGGGCCGGCCCCATGGCAGAGTGGTTAAGTTTGTGTGCTTCTCTTCGGCGGCCCAGGGTTCACCGGTTCAGATCCTGGGTGCGGACATGGCACACTCATCAAGCTGTATTGAGGCAGCATCCCACGTAGCAGAGCCAGAAGAACCTACAACTAAAATATACAACTATGTACTGGGGGGGCTTTGGGGAGAAGAATAAGAAAAAAGATGTTACCTCAGCTGCCAATCTTAGGGGAAAAAAAGAATCAGACATTTCTCTGAGCAGCCCTGACTCCTTTTTTTTTGTAGGAGGTATTAGAATGCAAGATCTGGGTACTGGGTGTGCTAGTTGCTACTGGGTATCATTGCTTCTGGGGTCTCTCAGCTGACAAAGCGAGGAAATACATGAATGTACTAACCCAAGTACATGCACATATCTACAAATCTTTCTATATACATATATGTATATATCCATCTATATCTATGTTAAACTAATAGTGAGTTTATACTGATGTCCTCAACTCTAATCTGGTAACATGCGTCATTCTAATCCCCCTCACCCATGCTTGACTGTAACCTCTCACTCCAACAGTGAGAAACCTCCCTCCTGCCATCCACCTTCCATTTACTTAATTGTCCAATTCCAGTATCCATGTGTAGTGATTTCAGAATTGTTAAGCCGAACTCCTATGGGAAACAGCGTTATCAGCCAGAGTACAGTGCTATGTATAGTTCCTTTTGCCTTTAGTCTTGCTGACTCCATTCATTTCCAGTTACTTAGGTTAGCATCTTTTCTCCCCATCCTCTTCAGTGAAGGTATTTCATACATTTGTAATACAGTTAGATTCTTTTGTTAGTCTATATTACATTTCTGATCTAAATATTTTCTTAAGTTCACATACATTAAATTTATTCTTTGTACTGTAAAGTTCTGGGGGTTTTGACAAATGTATTATGTCACGTATTCACTGTTACAGCATCATACGACATAGTTGCACTGCCCTAAAAACTCCCCTGTGCTTCACTTATTCAAACTTCCTCTCCGAATTCCTGGCAACTGCTGATCTATTTGCTGTGTCTATGCTTTCGCCTTTTCCAGATCTGTAGCTGTTAAAATTTTTCTCTCAGATCATTTAGTTCTACCAGAGGAAAAACTGGATCCCCCCCCAATCTCTCCTGCCCCCCACCCACCGCCCCCTGTGAGGGAGGAAGGGGATGTATAGAGATAGATGTCTGCTGCTGGAAACCAGACAGAAAACAGTGGTTTGGGGTCTCATTGTTTGGTTTGGGGATTTCACTTGGTGGCCTTGTTTTCAGTCTTGTGCCTTACTTCCGCTTCCCATGGTGCCTGATGGTCCCCAGTCTAGAGGCTGTTGAGCTCAGTCTCTCAGAGAATAAACTCCTAGTCTCCTGTAGGGGAGGGGGTTGGGTGGCCATTCATTGCTCTGGGTGGAGGGGCACACCTGGGGCCTAACTGCTTTCTAATATAGACTTTTAGCCAACCTCTTGTTTGCGTCTCTATGTCTTGCCTCCTGCTTTTCTGAAGTATCCGGGCCTCCAATTTCTGATTATTTCTAGTGTCACAAATACCATCGCTCAATTCTCAGCAGAATCCCTCTGCTGGCCCTTAAGGTTTTGTTTCCTCTGCTCAGCTATTACTTCTCTGTCAGCTTTTTGTCTTCCAAAATTATATTAAGATCTCTTATCAATCACTTTTTCATTTCTCCTCGTTCTTGTGGGTTTATGCCATGTTTAACCAGAAGTGTGACTTGTGTTTAGAAGTTTGCAGTTTTATGCAACTGAGATGGTAATTACTCTGAAAAATGTTAAAAGCCATAGGAATTTCGTTTTCTTGTATCACTAGTCTCTCGGTGTGTATTTTGCAAATACGGCTCTTAGTGTACAGTGATCGTAAAAACCAATTGTGTGCAATTGATTTTTCCATGAGCACTCACTGTCTTCTCTTGTGTTAGGAATAAATCTATAAAAAATGATCAGTCGCGTTCTTTGGAAACTTGCTGAGGTTAACATTTCTGCTTCACTTGTAGTTGCTCCCATGGAGACACCATAGTAACTGTCACTATTGGCAGGGCTTGGAAGTTTCTACATTGACTCTCATTTCTAGAAGTTTGCTCTCTCACACACACTCTTTCTTATTCTTTTGCAGCAAGTGGAATACCACAGGTTAGATTGATTTATATAAGGAACAACTTAACTTTGGACTTATCATTAACAAGAACCTGGGACAAAATTCAAGATCTGTTTTCTTTAGGAATAGGAATAGACTTATTTATAAAATTCCTAACTGTTCCTATAATTCCAGTAAATGGAACTGTACCTTCTAATGGTTTGTGGTTATGTTCTGGTGAATGTGCTGAAAGGGCTGCACGCATTTTTCTTTTCCTAAGGGATCAAATGGGATGAGATGAAATAGCAGTTTTAAGAAGGGGTCCCTAGCCAGGTGAAGGCTTAGATTGAAGAGATGCTTTTAGTGTGCCCGCTATGGGCCACATGCCTTCCCTTATGTGATGTCATTTACTTTCATTCTCAAAGTGACCACTGAGGCAGCTGTGAACCCACTACAGATATGAACTTGGAGCCTTCGCCTTCAGTGAGGGCAGAGCCAGAGTGGGAACCCAGGACCTGTGTGCTTCCCAGTGTGCTATCTGGGGCTTTGGGCTGGTTTTCTCAGCTTAAGTCCCATGTTTTCCCTGTGCTTTGCTTCCAGACCAGTGAAAGCCAGTGTAGCACAGTGGTTAAGCCTGGACTCTGAAGCCACGCTGCCGGCATTCAAATATCTATTCCACCATGTGCAGTTGGGCTCTGTGCCTCAGTTTCTCCATCTGCAAAATGGAGAGAATGACAGTTGCTGTGGGAATTAATATTGTAAAGCACCTAGTTAACCATATGCAAGTGTTTACTAAATAAACAGGTAAATTCTATTAGACTTCTAGTCCTCCTCTGTGCTCAGTAGTTAAAAGAAAGCAGATATTATCCTTAGGCCTTGCCATAAGGGAGAGCTTTTCAGAAACAAAGATGTGTACAGAGGTGAGAGAGTTTCCCTTCTTAACTTCTTCCCTTCCTTTCCTACCGATTTGGGCCACTTGGGTAGAACATTTGAACTAAAATGTCACTTAGCAGTGCCAACCCTCAAATGGGTGTTCTTAAGCAAAATCTAAGTGCTTATAAAACTTAGACCCAGATGTCCTTGAATAGCTATGTAGAGCTTTAATAAGGGTGAAAAATTCCAAAGGTTAGACTGGGATAATCAGATGAGTAATGGTAAAATAATCGAATTATTTTGTCTTTATATAGTAAAGGGGCTGAGCTAGATGACTCCAAATGCATGTGACTTTTATAATCATTAAGCTTCTTGGTTTGGTCCACTAACTCAGACCTGGAAAGCAGATGCCTACGTGCTTAGATAAAAATGGAATCATGTAATAGATGAAAATCCTCTGGTGTCATTTCCTCATTAAAATTTCCAAAGGCTGCCTATCTGGTGATAGAAGCAACCGCGAGATTGCAGAGATCTTTGGTTATGACTTTGTGTCTTTTTGTCCACTGGTCATTATAACCTCTGTATCCCTATGTTGAATAAATTAATGGTGGTGCCATCTGCACTGCAGAGGTTCCTTTTTATTTATTTTTATTGTTTTTTAAAGATTTTATTTTTCCTTTTTCTCCCAAAGCCCCCCAGTACATAGTTGTGTATTTTTAGTTGTGGGTCCCTCTAGTTGTGGCATGTGGGTTACTGTCTCAGCATGGCCTGATGAGCAGTACCATGTCCACGCCCAGGATTCGAACTGGTGAAACCCTGGGCCACTGAAGCAGAGCACGTGAACTTAACCACTCGGCCACGGGGCCAGCACCCAGAGGTTACTTTTTAAATGGAGGAATTAAGACGATTACCATTATCACTTGTGGGCAGGTGACTGGCCCCATGATTTCATCCTCAACCAGTGCAGACTTAGGCATAGCATGCCTGTTACAGAATACCAACAATTCCATCTGGTTTGGGGAACTGAATAGTTTCAACAACTGAAGGTTAACCTTTGCTTGGATGATAGACAAAGTAAAGGAGCTGAAAGGGAGGGCACAGTATGAAGGGTAAACAGACTGAAAAGGATAAGGTTTCTCAATATGGGAGATGGTTTTATATCAGTCTAGAAGAGTGATCTACAAGAAGAATATCTGGAGTAATTCTGATCAAGTAGTGCAGGCTTCAGCTAGACTTCCAATGGCTCATCTACGGGATGGATGGGTAAAGAGCACTATTGGAGAACGAGTGGCTTCTGAAGAGGCAGCTGTTGAATGTTCTCTCACCAGGCAATTGTTTGGTAATTGTTTTGATTAATGAGATTGTGCAGTAGAAGGGCAAACAAAGCTGAGGCTGCTAAACTGACCAGGAAAACACGTTTTTTCCCTTGTATTGAAGAGCATGTGCTGTGTAGAGCAAGAGACACTGGCGTGCCCAGCCAACCTTCATTGGCATCTGGTTGGTTGCTAATTTTAGGAAGCATTTGATTAGTATTTGGCAAGTTATGGTCAGGAATTCCTTCATTTGCCTTTTTCCCCCACTGGGAAGACCCTTTTGAAGTGATATCTCTGTATTTGGTTTTCCAAGAAGTTAGACTTCTTGATAATAACCCAATAGAATGCTGCTGCTATTAATAGTTATCAAGTGGGTATTTATCACATGGAGAAATAAGGGAGGCAATATAATATATTGGTTAAGGGCTGAGCCCTGGAATCAAACTCCTGGGTTTGATTCCTCATTGTATCATTTACAAGCTTTGTGATTTTGAGTAAGTCACTTAACCTTTCTAGGCCTCAGTTCTCATCTAAAAAATGGGAATAGTTAGTGCTCCATCTATGCTCCATCTATATTAGCTGCTGTTGTTAACACCGTTGTTGTTGTTGATTTCCTTAGCTGACCAATGACTGTGGGAAGAGTGCAAGGTCTGTGGTACCAGCACATCGGCCCCTTCCTGGGACCTTCTCACATCAAGTATGTTGAGTGAGATAAATGAGTAAACCAAATATCTTAGTGGCGTGAGACATTTGCCATCTGTAACTTCAATTTTTCTCCTCAGCAGCAGCTTCCCAGTGAGTATTGGTGACTTCAGTTCATTCTTTCTAATGCATATTTTTTTCTGGGTCACTACCTGTGAAGTCAAGGTTTTTAGCTTAACAGTGTGGCTAGATAAACATTTATTGATTCTTTTCCATTACCAAGAGCTGTTAGCTAAGAGATCTGACCTGTCACAAATGGAGGAATTTGTTCCAACGTTCTTGAAATCTCCCTGACCAGGACAAAGTTTAGTCTTAAGACAGTGCCACAGAGGAGCAGGAAGTCATGGAGTTATACTGCTGGGTTGAGGAGAAAACGACGAAAGAGAAAAGCCTGAGAGTAGACATTTGCAGAGCAGCTCACCCGGTTGAAAGTTGGCATTGTTTTACACCCAACATCTCAGAAGATTTTCCTCGCCTGAGTGGGCTTGGTGGAGCACTGGCTTGAGAGTGTTGCTTAGCAACAAGATTTTGTGGCACCCAATTCTCAAAGAGTCAAGCAACCCATCAGTTCCGCCTCCCCCTCCACCAACCCTCAGCTGCCATCCCGAGCTTCCTATTAGAGAAGTGTGTGCTGGAGGGAGGGACCAGAGAGAGGGGGCGAAGTTTAATCATTGAACTAAGCAGCCTGGAAGTATTTAATCTGTAGCACCAGTTCCCCCGGAGGTCTGCAGCCTGAACTGGAAGTGGGCAGCGCCCCGGGGCCGTGGAGTAAACACCTCCCAGAAATCTCTGCCCATCTCAGGAGAAAACAAACTTGGGGAAAATGTTTGCGGTACACTTGATGGCATTTTACTTCACCAAGCTGAAGGAGGATCAGATCAAGAAGGTAAGGACTCACAATGCTGAGAGACTCCTAGTTATTCTTCGCTAACAGAACTGATGTCCTGCCTACATCCAAAAGGATTTAAGAGAGCTTATTAGAGGGACCGGGTCCGTGGCCGAGTGGTTAAGTTGGCGTGCTCCGCTGCGGCGGCCCAGGGTTCAGATCCTGGGCGCTGACATGGCACCGCTTGTCAGGCCACGTTGAGGCGGCGTCCAACATCCCACAACTAGAAGGACCTGCAACTAAGATATACAATTATGTACAGGGGTGGGGTTTGGAGAGAGAAAGCAGAAAAAAAAAAAAGAGCTTATTAGAAAAGATACAGGCAGCATAGGACCAGTAAAACACTCACAGAGGGGCAAGGGGAAGTAAGTAAATCTCCCACAAGCCGGGCATTGCGTATTCTCCTGAGCCTTGAATTTCACTCAGAACTTATTGGCAGATGTCAGATGGGAAGGGGATGAAGAATATTGGGCTTGAAGCTTGAAGATGACTGTGTTTGATGTAAGGGGCGTCTGGGGGGAAAGGCTACAAAGGAGAGGAGAGTCATTTTTAAGGAAATTTTGAGAACTTTTTAAGTAATTCCCATGATTCTTCTTGTGTTTGAAAAAATATAAATATGGGCACCAAGAGGGATGTGAGTTTTAATGTACAATAATTGAAATATTTGTTATTGGAAAGTGCTGTTTGCCAGTGGTATGCTATTAGTGGTGTGCATTATTTTGCCACTTTGCCCAAGAACCCTGTCTACAGAATTTATTCTAAGTGGGCTGGTTAAAAGTTTCCCAGGCTCAAGTGGGGGCTCCCGGTCTGCCATTCTAGCCACACCAGCTGCCAGCAGCAGGGCCCTGGGCACTAGCATCTCCATTTACAGATAACAGAAGTCCTCCCAGATGGCGAATTTAGCCCAGGTCACCAGGGTATTTAAGGTGACGTGAAGATTGAACCCACGTTGCTGACTGCTCCTCCAGCATTCTTTCCATTGTGCCGTGATGCCTCCTGGCCTTTTAAACTCAGAGGAAGCATGGTCCCTTACTGCCTTCATGTGCTTGGTGGGATAAACTCCCACTAAATTCTGTTCATTAGAGAATTGCATTAGAGATTATAGCAAATCTTAAAATATTATAAATCAATCAGATTTAATCCAAGATTTCCACTTGTTGATTAGATTCATGGAGCCCTGTATTAGCTTCTTAATGAAGTGGGGAAATCCCAAAGAGCACTGCTGAAGAATTCACCTTCTGTCATTACCTGCTTAGTCGACTTGCAGCCTGCATGGTGTCTCCCACCCCCTAAGGGGGTGTCTTTAGAACCCTGACGCCTTTGGTTCTGCGTGTTTCATTTCCTCGGGCCCTTTTGTGGTGGTGAACGTTTCATTACACACGAGAGTTAGGCAGCACGCGTTTGTCCACCAGCCCAGGTGCAGGCTCAGGAGGCGGATGTGCAGCCTCCATCGATCCGTTCCAGGTCCTTCTGGTTGGAGGGTCAGCCTACGTCAAGGCCTGGAGTTGATCCTTCCCTCTCCCTGTGGGAGGCAAGAAAGCTCGTGGGAGTGAGCCGAGCAGGGATGGGCAGGAGCACTTTGTAGCCACCTTATGCCAGGGACCCAGCAGGCGTCTGGGATAGTCTGGAGGCTGGTTTATGGCTGCTGGAATGAGTCATAGTGCTGAGAACACCGGCTCGTTCACTCCTCCACGTGGTGGAAGCACACCTGCTCAAAAGGCACAGGCTCTTTCTCTTTCTGGATCAGATAGCCAGGCCCCTTCTTAGTTCCTGGCTTCCTGACTCTAGAGTTGTGAAGATCCTGGGCCGTGCTTGACTGCGGGGTGACTATTCAGACCCTGGAACAATTTTTTAAAATCTTCCTATACCGGGGCCAGTCCAGTGGCACAGTGGTTAAGTTTGCACGTTCCGCTTCGGTGGCCCTGGGTTCGCCAGTTGGGATCCCGGGTGTGGACCTGTGCACTACTTGTCAGACCATGCTGTGGTAGGCGTCCCACATAAAGTAGAGGAAGATGGGCATGGATGTTAGCTCAGCACCAGTCTTCCTCAGCAAAAAGAGGAGGATTGATGGCAGATGTTAGCTCAGGGCTGATCTTCCTCAAAAAAAAAATTAAAATCTTCCTATACCAACATTAAAACAAAAACAAAACTAAATGGAACGAAAGAAAGAAAGGAAAGGAAGGAAAAAAATAAACTGAGAAACCACTCTGACAGCTTCTCTTCCAATTCAATATATTGACATTATTTAACCTATTGATGACATTGGCCTGGGCCTGGTCACTGACCTGAAGATTGTTCACTCATAAGAGGAGGACTGTTAGGTTTTCAGTATGTACTTTTTACAGTTTACTAAGTAAGTCAACATTACGAAAAGTGGCAATGTTACCTTTAATCCCACCCCCTCACAAACATTCACGTTCGCGATGTGGAAGCCCTTGTAGCCTTTTACATGGTGTATGTTTTTACAGTTATGTTGTACATACGATTCTGAATCTTGTGTCCTTCACTTACAGTTATATTGTAACTACTTGTGTACATTTCTCCAGTTCTTCATAACTACCATGTAATAGCTTCCCAATATTCAATCAAGTTGGATATGCCATAATTTAACCTTTTCCCCCTTGTTGGACATTCGGCTACTTTCGAAAAGATTTTTTAACAATTAAAATATAGCTATGATAAACATTATGTATTTAGTGTTCTCCCTCTTTGGGATTATTTCCTAAAGATAGATTCCCAGAAGTGGAACCACTGGGTCAAAGGGCTGAGACTTTTATGACTCTCGACTCATAATATAGGACCTTTGGTCTAAGTGATCTCTGCTGTCCCTGCCAGCCCGCACTTCTGTAATTCAGTAGCTCTGAGCTTACGTTCTTGAATGGACTCTTCCTACGTTAAACGTGCTGCTCTCGTTGGTTATTTGTTTAGAAGATAGCCACATTCTGGTTTGTGAGTCACTCCAAAAGTGGGGCTTGGTTTTCTGCAGCTCATGCACCCTCCCTCAGTGCCTACAACATGGGTGCCTGATTACACAGGCCCCAAATCACATGTTTGGATTTAAAATATAGCTTTTTTGTCCCAACATATGTTTCATTCTTCTCTTCTAGCTACTGCTGTACCAGGTGTTGTGGAAGATTGAAAGAAAAACAAGCAGCCGTGCTAAGTTGACATCCTTTCTGTCATAACTCTAACTTATTCCAACAGCAGCAGCGGCAACCCAAAGTCCTGAATGACTCTGCTAACCTGCAGCTGCCGAACGAGCCCAATGGGGCCTCAAACTGTTACGTAGAAGGGATGGCGCTAAGGGGATGCCTCTCTATACTCTGGGGCCGAGCGAAAGTGGGCAGTAGGTTCACGTGCACTGTGGAGGGGCCTTGGGATGACAAAGGGGCAGGCTTGGTTCCCGTGTGATGCATCTCACCCTTCCCCAAGCCCCAATTACTTGGGTCACGTCCCTTCCGTCAGTTTTCTCCGTGTGTGTGTGTGTGTGCGTGTAGCTGTGCCAACCAATTAGTCATAAACGGACTCAGGGTGAACAGGAAGGCCTAATGAAGCATGACGTGCTTCCGTCCTATCTTCTCAAATATGCTGAAAGCTCAATTGTCCTTTTTTGATAATGGCTCTCTGATGGTTTTCTGGCCCCCGGTCCCTGGAGCCATTTCGCTGACTCTATATTGGCCCCATTTTGAGCTGGGATGCCTGCCCTCTAGGCCGGGCTAATGACTGGGTGCCTGTCCTATGATGAATGTCATGTGACCCCTGTGCTTGTGATGGAATTTGCCTGTGGGGGCTCGTGGGTCCCACCCTGAGCTGTGAACCAAAACCAGGCTATGGGGTGAGGAGTATGGAGACCGCGTTGTAGACCCAGTGCTGTCACTTAACCATGGCGCTCCCAGTGCTGCTTAAGGGCTCTGAGCTGTGGATTCCTCATCTCTCAACTAGGGACAATAATTTCGGCCTTTCCTGGCTGCCGCAAAGGGAGGTCATGGAGATTAGATGAGGTGACATACACAAAAGCACTTTGTAGACTGCAACACAGTCTATGTTCTTAGCCTTAGATAAAAGTGTGGGAGAGCACTTCCTCCAGGAGTGTGCTGGGATCGAGGCTCCCTGTGACCTGGATGAGTAGAGAGGCCACTCAGTATATAAAGAAGGGGTGGCAAATACTGGGCAAATACTGTCCCTCTTCTTGCCTCATCGATAATCCATCCCAGTGAGCCCTGGGAACCCAGGCTGCCACCACCAGCTGATTAACATTAGCATGGGGGAGGAAGTTTTTCTGCCATTCCTGATGTGACATATTACCTTCAAGTGAACTGAGCACAACCATAGTAATTTTTGTAACTTCCTTCCACTGGGGCAGTGGTACTTTGCCCCGATTTCCTGGCTACCTGAGTGGCATCCACTCATATCCCATAGCAATTTGAACTGGCTTTAAAAATTAAACTTTATCTTAATTAGAACAACTTCAGTTAAAAACAAAATGGAGATTTAAAGGACTAGATTTTAGAGATTGCAGCTGGAAATTGAATTTGGTTCTGAGCTTCCTGGCAGCCAATAAACAGAGTGAAACATGTTTGGATATTTATTGTCATCACTGGACAAAAGAAAGCTTCTATGTTGGGGAATTTAAGGTTCAAGCTATAGCTAGTCTTTTCCAGCGGAGAGACAATGGAACAATGGTGAGGGCCCTGAACTGGGAATTAGAAACCCTGAATCCTTCTTAGTTATTGTCCCTCCATTGTCCCATAAAAAAAAAAAAAATGCAGGAATCACTTTTTCCTCAAAGTTTGCCCTTCAGAGGAGTAATCCCCACCTCCTCAGCCTTCCCTTTCAGTTCGTTCTTCTAACTCTCCATCTCCTCCCGGCTTGATAAGGAGGCAGGCAAGGAACCTTTGGGAGCTCACATCAGGAAGCTGACCCCAAAGTCAGGAATCCAGCTTGTGATGGGAATGGGAATTCACAGAATTGACTGGAGGGCAAGCACCCCCTGCAGCCAACCGTGGTCACCCTGGTGTCTGTTTCAGGTGGACAGATTCCTGTATCACATGCGGCTCTCCGATGAGACCCTTTTGGACATCATGGCTCGGTTCCAGGCTGAAATGCAGAAGGGGCTGGGGAAGGACACCAACCCCACAGCCTCAGTGAAGATGCTGCCCACCTTTGTCAGGGCCATTCCAGATGGCTCAGGTGAGTGGGGCTGGGGCTGCCAGGGACCCTGATCCCCTGGTTTTTTCTTGGCTGATGGGTACCTAAATTTTTCTCCTGTACCCTGGCTTCTCTCTCCAGCTCTTTCTCCACATTCCCCCTCCCACTCTCTCTGACTTTCTATGCTTCAGTTGTACTGAACGCCAGAAGTTTTAAACCAAAGTTCCACAGACAAATGCACCTTGCTTTCTCTCTGCTTGCCTTGGCTTCACGGATTCTGTTCCCTCTCCTGCTGGAGCATCCCAATGTTCTTCCTCTTGTGAACACCGACATAGCTGTTCAATCTCAGTGTAGAGATAACTGCCTGCATCTGGGAAGCATCCCCATGCTGGGTTAGGTGCTTGTCAGAATGCCTATCATCCTGCTTTTGGAGAGTCTCCCCACTGGAACGATCTCCATGAGGGCAAGGTCTGTGTCTTCTTCACCACAGTGTTCTGAGCACCTAGCATAGTGCCTGATGCACACTAGACCCGGAAATATTTATTAAATGAATAATAAACGGCATTTTACTCCTGGGTATCTCGATTCTAGCCTATAGATAGTAAACAATAGAAGGAAGCATGATGTAGTGGAAATAATATTAAATGATAGTTCAACAAACCTGGGTTCTAGGACCTGCTCTATCATTCCTCAATGACCTTTGGCAAAATGTTGAGCCTTAGTTTCTCCGTCTGTAAAATGAGGGAGTTGGCCTACGTATTAGCTTTCTATAGCTGCTATAACAGGTTACCACAAACTTAGCAGCTTAAAACAACAGATTTATTCTCTCGCAGCTCTGGAGCTCAGAAGTCTGAAATGGGCCCCTGCTTCCTTGCCTCTTCCAGCATCTAGAGGCCACCTGTGCACCTTGGCTCATGCCCTTTCCCTCTCCAAGCCAGCCGTGTAGCATCTTCAAATCTCTGACCCTTCCGCCTCACTCTTCCACATTTAAAGACCCTGTGATTACGTTAGGTCCACCCAGATAGTCCAGGGTAATCTCCCAAGCTCAAGGTCAATCAATTAGCAGTTTTGATTCCATCTGCAACCTTAATTCCTCCTTGCTGTGTAACCTAACGTATTCACAGGATCCATGGATTTGCATGTGGACGTCTTTAGGGGCCCAGTATTTTGCTTACCACAGCCTACAGAGCTCTAGAGGGAATCTGTGAAGTTCCATCCAACTCCTCTGTTCTCGGCCTCTGGGCAAAGCCATAGGAGTTCTTCAAAGCCAGTTCTTTTCCAGGTACCTTCTATGGCCGTGGGGTGCTAGGGGCTCACTGCTTCATGCAATCCCCATAAGAACCCTGCGGTGTAACTGTTATCCCTGACTCAGGTGATGAGACCGAGGTTTCCCCAATATCAGAGTCCCAGTGCTCCGACCAAGCTCCAGCAGGGCTTTGGGGCTCTTGAAGGAGCAGGGACTGAAGTTCAGGATGCTCTCAGGGGCCTTTGATTGTATTAGCCAGGTTCTGGGCTCCCTGGGACAATGCCCGGGTCAAAGTAGCTTAACTCTGATGTTCGGGAGGCCCCTGGGAAACTGGGATGGGAAAGGCCCGTTCCCTTGCTGGTGTGCGGGTGCATAGGGTGGCCAGTGTACCACCCTGGGGGAACATGAGGTTTGGGGAGAGACAGTCCTGCTTCGGAATCTTGCCTGGTTCCTGACACCACTCTGTGAGAGTACTGAGGGACTGTGGTCCTTGACAGGTCATTCAGGGCTGTTCTGAGGAAGCCTCTGAGTCATGGGGTGCGTGTGGGAGGAGGGCACCGGGGCAAAGTCCTCCCGGCTTCCTGTGCTGAGGCTCCTCCTGCAGAGTGCTTTCCCCAGAAGCAGGGGAAAGTGGCCTTTGATGGTCTGGAGTTGCTGGGCCGCATGTGCCTTCCTGGGCGTGGCAGCTTCAGGAGGGTTTGGAAGTGAAGCTGACCGAGTTTTAGAACTCCCTCCTCCTCAGGCCGGGAGACCCCGCCTCCTTCCTCCCTGTCTCCTCGGAGCCCCCCATCTCACCCTAGATCTCACTGGTGGCCCTGTTGCAGTGAGGTCCCTTGGCCACAGTCCCTGTGGAGCCAGGTGGTCTTGGTAAGTCCCAGGACCACTGCACTCCTGTCCTCCTCAGTAAACTGGCTGTGGCCAGTTTGTCCCACCAACTTGCAGGGTTGTTAGGATCAGATGAGGCCATGTGGAAGGAGTGCTTTAAAATCTCCAAAATGTCCCAAGTGCTCTGGAGCTCCTGTGAGCTGGTGGTGTAATGTCATGATTACTAACGAACAAAACCAAAGAAAACTCTCCTAAGCCCTTGGGGTCTTCATTGCAGAAATGTATGCAGTTTCCAGAGAAACCCTTCTGAATTCACCTGCTGTTTGTAGTTTCCCCTCCTTTCATCTGAACCTACCTGAGAGGGGACCTGTTGGAGCCTTAGTTACCTCTGGCCTTTCAGGCAGGGAGCTGTGAGGGACTGCCCTTACAAAGTGCCTGAAAAGTCATGATGTCACTTGTGCCTTCTCCTCTAGTTTCAGGGAAGGCGGACAGGAAGTGCCATCGCGAGATTGTGAAGGTGACTGTGATTCTGTAGGCCTCACCCCGGCTGCCTCTCTGCTTGGCCTCTGCCTCCAGGCAGGCAGCCTCCTAGGCCTCCTGGAGGGTGAGCCCTGAGGTAGTGGGCTGACGGGCCCAGGGGTCTGTGCTAGGACAGGGTCCCGTACTTGCCTGAGAAAGACTCACCTGGGGCAACTCGTAATCATGTGGTTTCCCAGTCCTCTCCCCTTGGAGATTCTGAATGGCCAGGATTCTCCACATTCCATCACCATGCGCCTCTGGGAGCTGCTGCACTAGGGTATCAGGGGGAGCCGAGGCACAGCCCTGGCAGGGGCCTAGGAGAAGGAGACTCGGCGCCCGAGGCAAGCTGGAGCCACTGAGCTGGGGAGGCAGGATCACCCACGGGGCAACTGACTCTCACGGCCACCTCACCCTCTTGGGAGGTCATTCTCTTTATTGCTGTAAAGACCCTGAAGGCCCCGCTGCTGCTGTTGCTCTCTTCTTCTGGGTGGCTCCTCCCTCACCCCGGGGTTCAATAAGTCATTTTTCTGGGGTCAGAGTCACAGAAGGGAGCATGTCACGTGGTTCCCATGAAATAGTGTCTTGGGTCAGTGGTGGAGCGAGGTGATTGATTGCATAGTGATAATGGCGCTGGTGGCCGGAGGAAGGAATGAGTCTGTGCAGACGCTACACCCGGTCTTGAATATCACCTCCAATCTGGATTGTAGCACAGTACCTCTTTTGTTAACACCCTCCATTCCGTCCTGGTTGGGGCCAAAGGTGGTTTCACAAAATCTTCATCAGATCTTGGCACTCTCTTGCTTAAAATCTTTCTGTGGCTCCCCCTCACCTGTTGGATAAAGCCCAGCTCCTTGGGGTGGGGCAACTTTTCCAAATCTTTGCTAATTTAACCCGAGACTACCTGCCAGCCTCATTTCTGTGACAGCCTCCCTGTTTTCTCAAAAGCGCAGGCCCCTGTTTGCGCTCATTCTTTGCTCCTGGTTTCCTCTCCCTGGGACCCCAGTTCTCCCCCGTCTGGCTGCCTGACTCCCTTTCATCCTTCAGCTCTCAGCTCTGTATCACCTCCTCTGGCATGTTGACTCCTGCTCTGATTTAGATGCCTCTCCCTGTGCTGCCCACGATCAGGGCACTTGTCCTACTGTATGGAAATGGCTCATGCACTTGCCGGTATTTCTGAGTTCCGTCCCTAGCGCCTGGCACATTACTTGGCATGGAGTCGGTAGTCAGTAAGTGTTCATGGATTGTGCAATCTACTCTATTTCCTATGCAGTAAGACGTCTGTGAAAGCATCTCTTGCTTGGTACATGATGAGTGCTTAATCAAAGTTGCACAGGATTGGCTCCCCGGATTCCCTCCGCAAATAATAAACAGTTCTGTCAGGTTCCTTTCAGGACTGATCTGGAGAGATAAGAATCCCACTTTCCAGATGTCGCCACAAAAACAAAAGGTGGAGCTGGCTGGGTCAGTTAATGAGATTCTAAGCCTTCGCTTCTTTGCCTGTGGTCCACAGACCTGCAAGAGCAGCTGGGAGCTCGTTCAGAAATGCAAAATCTCAGGCCCCACTGCCACTGAATCACAGTCTGCATGTTAACAAAATTCTTGGGAGGTTCACACACACGTTAAGGTTTGAAGAGCGCTGCTCTATGCCAATCGCCAGTCGGAGGGCCTGCCTCCAGCTCTTTGATCACAGAGAAACCTAGTCAGGCCAGGTCATGCAGCTTTTGTTGTACGAGGACACATAGACCAAGAAGGGAGACACGCAGGATCTCATGGGAATCCATGGACAGGAACTGTGGTACAGTCAAGCCTCTAGGGAAGTGGGACTGGAGAGGTTTCTTCCCTGTGGTTGCAGCCTACATACACATGGCCACCTTGGCTATCCAGCTGACCTCTGGTTTTGGGGACGCTTCCATTTCATTTTTTCCTTTTTTTTTTTTTTTTGAGGAAGATTATCCCTAAGCTAACATCCACTGCCAATCGTCTTTTTTTTTGCTGAGGAAGACTGGCCCTGAGTTAATATCCGTGCCCATCTTCCTCTACATTATATGTGGGATACCTGCCACACCATGGCTTGATAAGTGGTGCGTAGGTCCGTGCCTGGGATCTGAAGCAGTGAACCCTGGGCTGCCAAAGCAGAATGTGTGAACTTAACTGCTATACCACTGGGCCAGCCCCCATTTCAGTTTTTGCTACCTACTAGCAACTTCCCACTATGGTCTGTTTTTTGGGGGGTTTATTGGTGAAGAAGATTGGCCCTGAGCTAACATCTGTGGTCATCTTCCTCTATTTTGTATGTGGGTTGCTGCCACAGTGTGGCTGCTGATGAGTGGTATAGGTCTGTGCCTGGAATCTGAAGCTGTGAACGTGGGCTGCTGAAGCGGAACATACCAAACTCAACCACCAGGCCACGGGATTGGCCCCTTCTTTTTTTTTTTTAAGAGTTACTAGATTTTTGAGGCTTGCCCAGTGGCATAGCGGTTAAATTCATGTGCTCCACTTCAGCAGCCCAGGGTTCAAAGGTTTGGATCCCCTGCATGGACCTACTGCTCATCAAGCCATGCTGTGGCAGTGACCCACATACAAAATAGAGGGAGATTGGCACAGATGATAGGTCAATGACAATCTTCCTCAAACAAAAAGAGGAAGATTGGCAACAGATGTGAGCTCAGGTCCAATCTTCCTCACCAAAAAAAACCCCAAAAAGAGTGAGTTAGTAGATTTTTAAAATTTTATTTATTTATTTATTTAGCAGGGAAAGATTCGCCCTGAGCTCACATCTGTTGCCAATCTGCCTCGTTTTTTTTCCTCCCCAAAGCCCTGGTACACAGTTGTGTATCCTAGTTGTAAGTCCTTCTAGTTCTTCTACGTGAGCTGCCACCACAGCATGCAACTGACAGACGGGTGGTGTGGTTCCACTACTGGGAAGTGAACCTGGGCCACTGAAGCAGTGAACGCCGAACTTTACTAGGCCATCAGGGCTGGCACTTTCCATTAGGTTTTATTTCACATTTTGCAAGGAGTGAATCTGAATGGCCAGCTGGCGCCTTAGATCCACACAGCTGTGTCTAGGGTCACATGATACAAAACAAGGCCACCTGGGGACCTGGATTTGTGGGCGTGAAGTTTCACTTATTTGTGCCTTGGGCACATATCATGAAGTGTGCCTGGTACATGCAGCCACTTTTTAGGCCCAGATAATTCTGTACAAAGGCTTATTGGCTCAAGGGTATGAGTTCCCCTTCCATATCTGTGGCTGACACGGAAGGTGCTATCTGGGGTTCTGGGCAGGAATTCTGGCTGGATCCTGAGTAGAAGTCATCAGGGTGGGCTGCTTGACCCCAACACATGTGTCATTTCCACCTTTCTATTAATAGCATCTATCTTGCCCTGGGCTGGGTTGTGTTCCATTTTTCTCCTTTTGGAGTGACTCTGGCCCAAAATATTAAGCATCCAAGGCCCAGTAAGAGTCCTCATTTGGTCCCTTCCTCCTGGGAGCATTTTCCCTCTGGCTGTGAGACTGAGGCTTGTTGGGGCTGGTTTCTCTTCCCTGCACTTTCCCTGCCTTTTTCTCTGCACCTTATCCGCACCTCCCCAGCTTGGAGCATCAGCTCTCTTCCTGGTTGGGGCATGCTAGAATAGGCTCCACCCTCTGGGCCATTTCTAACACCACCTGCCTGAAATGGATTCACATTTCCTTCTCCAAATGAACACCTTTGTTCCCTGCAGCATGGTCCAGTGGGCAGGGCTCAGGCTGTGGAGTCAGGCAGATGGGTCCCACCCCAGCTTGGCCCCTTCCTGGGGGGGCTCGGGTCAATGCTGCACTGCTGGAGTCTCAGCCAGTGGGCATCATGATACCTAGCTCATGTGCTGGTTTTGAAACTTACTGATACTATGTGTCCAGCTTCTAATGCAAAGCTTGCTGTATAGCAGACCCTCAAGAAATGATAACTTTTTGTTTGTTTTTTAATAGAAAATGGGGAGTTTCTTTCCCTGGATCTTGGAGGATCCAAGTTTCGAGTCTTGAAGGTGCAAGTCTCTGAAGAGGGGAAACGAAACGTCCAGATGGAAAGTCAGTTCTACCCAACACCCAATGAAATTATCCGAGGGAATGGCATCGAGGTACTGGGGAAGGGGCCCTCCGAACTGGGGGAGGCCAGCATCCGGTCTGTGAGTGGCCACACCTCAGCCTGTGTCCTGCGCTTTCTCTCCTCTGCAGCTGTTTGAGTACGTAGCTGACTGTCTGGCAGACTTCATGAACACCAAAGGATTGAAGCATAAGAGGTTGCCCCTCGGCCTAACCTTTTCTTTTCCCTGCAGGCAGACTAAACTGGAAGAGGTAAGGGCCATGTGGAAGGAAGAAGCTGTGTAGGACCAGGGTTGGGGGCTGGAGAGTGTGGGCGTGTACAGGAGTCAGGCTGGGCACAGGAGGGGTCAGCAGGAGTTTTCTTGTTTGCTTTTTCCTTTTTCTTTTGTAAACGATGAGATGGAAATGTGAGGCAGAGAACTTGTTAAGGCAGCTGTGGCTGCCTTCGTCTTACGCTTACCATGCTCATAGCACAGGGGAACGGCGATGGTTTTCACCCCTCAGCTCAGTGGTTCTCAGACCTTCGTGTGCGTTGGAATTTCCAGCAGGGCTTGTTAAAGACAGATTGCTGGGCGCCACCCATGAGTTCCTTAATCAGTGGGGCCTTAGCTTTGCATTTATAACAGGTTCCAAGTGATGAGGATGCTGCTGGTCCGGGGACCACACTTAGAATGACTGACAGCTGACTAGAGTAAGAGCAGGACGGCTCGGGGAATCTTGCCTCTACTGTGAGCCCGTAGGAGGAGGATTGAGGTGGAGTCATTGGGGTGACGAGGTTCTTGAGCAGACGCTGCACCTGGGATGTGCAGTCTCAGTTGTGTCACTAGCCCCCTGGGGTCTCAGGTAATTCATCTTTGCCTGCTTCCTTTTTTCAATTTGTTACTAGGGAGGAGTCAAACCTGATCTTATGTACATCTGTGAAAATAAATATGGGGTCATATAAAAGGATAATGACCTTCCTGGGGCCAGGAGGTTACGGTCAAGAGTCAGGTCTTCCTGGGCCACGCCCCTCCGGGGTGGTGGCCTGTGATCTCCCACTGCACACACTGTCATTCCGCCAGCTGCCATTCCTGGAGCACCGTGATATCTCGGGCTGCCTTGGGATGTGTTTGGTGTTGTTTTGAGCTGCATACTGGTGTGGGATAGTGGAAAGGGAACGGGTGTGCAGTCCCGTAGACCTGGCTTTGAATCACGCCTCAGAACAAGTTGTGTGTCCTGGGCAAGTTACCTAACTTCTTGAGGCCCTTGTTGTCTCATCTGTGAAACAGGGACAGTAATACCTACTTGCTGGGCTGGGATGAAGCTTAGACAAAATGTCTGTACTGTGCCCAGCACTGGGCCCGGGGCATCAATGGCAGCTGAGGAGTACGATGGCTGTCCCTGTGGCTTGTCTCTTCATGCTGTTGTGCCTTGTCCCCCAATTCAACAGCTGTTTCTGGAGAGCAGGCACTGTTGTATGTCATCTTCCTATCTGCCCCCAGGGGCGCTAGCGCATGTCTTATGTTTGATAGGGGCCCCATCACTATCTGACACCTGAAAGGCACAGTCACCCACTTGACCCCGCTGAATGGGAATTTGCCATCATCTATCCACACAGGGAATGGACTGACGTTTACTTTGTCATTATTTTATAAAGAAACGATTGGAAAAATAGTATAAAGAAAGATTCAGAGCACGTTAGAAGAGGCCAGGCGGAGCTTTGCTCTGAAGTCTCACCATCTTTGCTGGCTGGAGGAGCAGAGGCCCCGGGGGGCACAGAGGAAGGGCAGGAGGAGTTGGGAATTGGGCGTTGAGACTGGATTCGCCAAATAAACACCTCTTATTCGAGCTCAGGAACAGAGACCCCAGGAAGAAAGAAGAAAATTCTCAAGCTCTGTGAGAGTTAATTTGACTTTGGGAACCAAACTTGCATATTTTTTTGATAACTCAAGGGTGAATGTATGGTTTGTCAATCCAGGATTTTGGCATTTATCTAAGTCAAATACCCCTCAGCATCTTTCTATAATAATAGTAATAGCAGCACTGTACTTCAGATTCTGACACTGTATCTTGCATTATGCTGAACCCTTTATGTGTATTATCTCATTAAAATCCCAAAACAATCATATGAGGTACATATGATTATTTTCATTTTATTTTTGAGAAAACCTGCAGCTCAGAGATGTTAAGGAAACTTGCCCAAGACCACACAGCCAAGAGTGGCTCAGCCCAAGTTCCCAAACTTCTTGACCACACTGCTTTTCCAGAAAGACACAGCTATAGAACTTTGTTTCGCATGCTAGCAGGTGCCTAAAAGCGTTTTGACCCATTTTGTGTCATATCCCAACAAGGATTTTCAGGCAACATTTAAACTAGGGAAGGGTGCTTGATTTATCTAGGAAGGGAGAAATGCTTTTGCCCGTCAAAGTCTAGTTGAATTACTTGTATTTTATAAAATTTCCTTCCAAACTGCCTTCAGCGAAGTCTAAAGTTAAATAGGAAAGCTTCAGCCACAAGAAAATGCATTAGTAATAAGAACCGAACGTGGGCTTTGCTATTTAACCATGGTTCTGCTGCAGGTGTAGATTTCGAGACACTCAAATAAGGGCTCCTGGAGAAGGCGGGGTCTGATCAGCGAGTACTGCAGACAGAGGTGGGAGGGGAAGCCTTGCTGAGGAGGTGTGGCTAAGGGGGCCTCCTCGTGAGTGATTGAAAAAGAGAAGAAGATTTAATTCTCTTACTGGATGTTAAAGGAGCAGGTCACTTTGTTGTTGTGTTGTTTTGTTTTGTTTTTTTAAATGAGAGAACAAAAAGGTCTTAGCCAAGGAGAAATTTCTTAATGTGTGTGTGTGTTTCTGATAATAAAAATGATAATACTTTAAGGTAGAAAAAAAGAGAAAAGGGTAGGAATTGAAAAGTTTAAATGGAAAATAGAAATCACCTCAAATCCCAGCCTTCAGAGATACCCACTACTAGAATTATTGGGTTTTCCTTCCAGTCATCTCTGTATTAAATACTGGTATTATGCTCTGTATATATAGTTTTTAAAAATATAGTTGCATGAACTGCTGTTTTTTCACTTAACGGTATATCACAAGCATTTATTCCCCACTCCCCCACACACACTCCCCTATCAGGTCCCACATTTTTCCTAGCACCCTTTTTGAGGAGAAGCCACCCTACAGTCTCTCACTGCTTTTATCAGGCAAAGCAGGGATGGTACCATAGCCTTTGAAGGCAGAAGTTGCCACTAGAAGGCGCTGTGGTGCAGGGAAACAACCCTGGTTGCTGGTGGCTTTTCAGAGACCAGCGCTCTGGTGGGCTCTGTCCTTCCCTCACTGGGCCGCCTAGAGCGATTCCCTCCTCTCCAAATCTCTGCTTCTTTATCCGTCAGCTGAGGGATTGGGGAAGCTGTGCTCTGGGCGTTTGTGAGTTTGAGCTCAGCCACTCTCGACCGGGTGGCCTTGGGCACATCTCTTAATTGCCAAGTTGTCCTCCAGTCTGAAAAATTGAAAAATACAACTATTTGCTATTTTAGACATGAAACTCTTGGGAAACATCCATTTTAAGCCAATAATGGATAATGCAAATTGAGAACCGTTTTTCTAAGTTGAAATTAAGTTCCTGAGGGAGTGCTACAAAGTAAAACCACATTAGTTTTGTTTTGTGGACCTGGCAAACCACGCATTCTGCACACATGGTAGGTACCTACACGCGCCGGATGTCCCATTGGAGCGTTCCTCTACAGAGGCAAGGAAGTGACCTTTCCACTTTACAGATGAGTAAACTGAGGCTCAGAGGAGTTACATGACTTGTCCAGCGTCTTGTGAAGCCAAGTGTTCTGACTCTTCAGCAATTGTTCTTTCCGCCACTATGTATAAAGTTTCCAACTGCTCAGACGAGAGTAATAAAGATGTTTAAATTATTAGAAAAGGCCTCTGAAGAAATGTTGAAAGAATTAGGGTGATTTAGCTTAAAGAAGAGAAGGCCATGGAGGATGCACTTTAAGCATGAAATTTCTGCAGCTCGTTTCCAGATCTGAGTGCCTTCTTCATTTTAACCGGGTCTAATATCTTCCCCCAGGGTGTCCTGCTTTCATGGACGAAGAAGTTTAAGGCACGGGGAGTTCAGGACACAGATGTAGTGAGCTGTCTGACCAGGGCTATGAAAAGACACAAGGTGAGGAATCTGCCTCAGCGTGGGGGCTCTCCCAGTCTGGGTCCAGGGTCCAGGGGAGAGAGAAGCAACCGGGGGCTGAGTGGAAGCCATGCTCCTGCGCTGTGGCTGAAGGCCCTGAACCCTTCTCTTTAAGGTGGGGGTGGGTCTCACACTGCGCCTGCCTGGAAAAGAACCAGGGAAGAAATGGTCTTAGGGACGGTCACTGTAGTACAGATGTGGCCAACTGGGATCAACCCGCTGGTGAGACTTGTATGTGGAGCTTCTTCCAATCTGTGGAAAGGTGGCCCCACACTTCCTGGGGACCTGCTCAGCTGCCACAGCCCCCTCAGGAGGTCTTGGTTAGACCCAATGCTGTGTGTAATTCCCCAACCCCACCTCTCCTCTCTGAGGCTTAAAAGATCACTTTCTTTCCAGTCAGCTCTCTATTCCACTTTCTGCCTTCTAGTCATAGAATATCTCTATTTGTTGAATACATTTTACAACAATCTAAAAAAGCAAGATATGCTCCCTGCTGAACTGGAAAGCACACGGGTAAACCCAAATCACTGGTTACCCTGACGGCAAGAGGAATATTTTGATGGATACACTTCCAGTCTTTTTTCTCTTTAAAAATCTGATCGTATTCTTCTGTATCCTGCGTTTTTCTCTTATTTTTTTCATTTTACTTTAAAATGCCCCCCAAACCTTGGGGAACTGTGGTGCAATAACCCAAGTTGACTTGGCAGAATGGGAAAACTAGGTGGGAAACCCATGGTGCTGCCCTGGAGAGGCCTGGGCTGAGGATGGTTAAGGTGTCCCCTGAGTGCCACCAGAGTCTCCAGAAAACAGAAAACAAACAAAATGTCCCCAGGGTAAGGACTTTGGTGTCTTCTCCTAGAAACATCATTGTTCCCAGGATAAATGTGCTTTCCTCAGAGTCCCTCAAACGAGGGCTAGGGTCCTGGTAGTCCGTCCCTCGTGTTTCCACCGCACAGAGGCCTTCACCTGTAGCGCAGGAGTGTGGCTTCCATGCAGCTCCCAGTTGCTTTTCTCTGCCCTGGACCCTGAACCTTGTCAGAGTCCTGGTCTCTTCCAGGCAGGCCCAGCAGGCAGGATGTCGAGATTGGCTCAACCAGTCGCCCTCATACTTTTGCTTCCTCTGTGGGGAAAGATGAAGGGATAATGCCTTCCTTCCCAGCCACTGATCCCCTCTCGGCCTGTGTTCCACCAGGACATCAATGTGGACACCCTGGCCTTGGTCAATGACACCGTGGGGACCATGATGACGTGCGCCTATGACGATCCCTACTGCGAAGTTGGTGTCATCATTGGTAACTCAATTAGACTTGCTTTTTGGGGATGGGGAAAGGGGCTGGGTTGAGGCTTAGTTTCAGCAAAGTTCCAGTAAGTTCTGTGGGAAGAGTGCTGTCACTTTCTATTTAGGAGAAGCAACATGAGGAGATGGAAAATTAATACACACATTCATTCATTCATTCATTCATTCAACAAGTGTTCACTGAGTGTGTGAGCCAGGCCTGCGCCCTGCATTGGGTCCTCAGTGGTGAGTTCACACTCAAAGGTCCCTGTGCTCACGGAGCTCTCAGTGGGGAGGCGGGTGAAAGGCCAGAAAGGCCTGAACAAGTAAGATAATTTCAGGTGGGCGTTACGTGATAAAGAAGATGAAGCAAGGTGATGTGACTGAGAGTGAGCTTGTGGGGTGGTCAGAGCAGGCCTCTCTGAGGGGTGACATTTGAGCAGGGACCTCAGTGACGAGGAGGAGAGAGCAAAGTGGCGATGGAGAGGGAGTGAGTCCTTGGCAAAGGAAAGAGGAAACCTATGGCGTCTGAGATGGAGTGAGTCTCTGGAGCTCGAGGAGCACTCAGAAGCTGCATGGTGGCTGGGTCAAACTGAGTGAAGGCTGACAGCCGTGGGCTACTCAGGTCAGAGAGCGCGGACAGGACTGGGAGATTGCGGAGGACATGGGACGCAGCGCCTGTGAGGTTATCGGCTTTGACCCCAAGGGAGGTAGGATGGCACTGGAGGACTTTGGGTGGGGGATGGATAAATGGGGTATGCATTTTTAAAAACCTCATTTTGGCTGCTGTGTGGAGAATCGACTACTGGGGGCAAAAATGGAAGCAAGGTAGAGGCCATTGCACTGTGCAGGCGAGACATGCTGGCAGCCTGGACCAGGGCGGTCGCAGCGCTGTGGAGGCGTCCAGAGGGTGGTCGCAACACCTGAGCTGAGAGGGGCTCTGACGAGGGGTCTGTGAGAAGGCAGTCTGGGAAAGAATAAAGCCAAATGGATCAGATTTATAGGCAGCTCTTGAATATCCCCTTCTGCTTTCCCATTCCTCTGCTACTATTGGGGAAAGGTTTCTGAATTGCTTTATCTTTGTTTCCAGCCCCACTCTCCTCAGCCTGGCTTCCCCAAAGGGCAGGATCTTTACACCTGAGGGGCTTGGTCTGCCTTCCTGTTTCAGGGCCCACTCCTCAGAATGGGATAGGTCTTGCCAGGCAGGAAATCCAGCTCCTGTCCACTGTGTCTGTCTTGGTGACAGTCTGGTAACCCACAGATTGGGTGCCACACCTGAATAGTATCCACACCTTTCTGAGAAAAACTTTTTCCAAATATTGTATTGCATTCTGCTTCTCTACATTTCTTATTTCTCATGTTGGCCTTTAAAATCTTCAGAGTATCAGCCAGGGGAAGATGCTTTAAAATTTTTTTAAAAAACAGTTTTATTAAGGCATAACAATTCTCTCATTTTAGGTGAACAATTCAATAATTTTTAGTAAATTTACAGAGTTTGGTAACCATCACCACCATCCAATTATAGCACACTTCCATCATCCCAATAGGTCCCAGAAGGATTGTGCCCATTTACGGTCACTCCCCAACACTCAAGTGTTTGAGGCGCTTCCTCAGAGTGATTTTGTGTTTGAATGATGGAATGTTGCTTTCTTATGTGATGGCTAATCACTGTCAAAGATAAGGGTGTACCTCATGCTAGGAACATATTGTGGCAGGCCATGAGTAAGGAATATTTTTAGTATCAAAGAGAGAAGCAGCTAAGTAGTTTAGGGAAAGGATTAAAAAATTAATTTTTTTCATGGTGGATTGGTGATTTAATTTTTTTTGATATTTATAAGCTTAGGATAACTCACCCTCCTCTTTGTAAATGTGCTTTGTGAGCTTTCATACATATTCATCAGGGACTTGTTTACAATTGACTCCATTCATAAGAGCAAACCATTAACAGCCTGAGAAGTGTAGACTTGACATGTCAGCTTTATCCTCATGAACTCCCGGGCTTGCCACAGCTGCTTCCCTCAGCGAGAACCAGCCCCGGGAGTGGATCAAAGGCACTTTGTGGTACATTCGGAAGACTCTCAGGAGGCTGAGAGTTCTCTCTGTCTGTGCCCGGCTGGGAGCCCTTCCATCTCTGCACGTTCTCTCTGACCCCTTGTTCAGGCACTGGCACCAACGCGTGCTACATGGAGGACATGAGCAACATAGACCTGGTGGAAGGTGACGAGGGCAGGATGTGCATCAACACGGAGTGGGGGGCCTTTGGGGACGATGGGGCCCTGGAAGACATCCGCACCGAGTTCGACCGGGAGTTGGACCTCGGCTCTCTCAACCCCGGGAAGCAACTGTGAGTACCCGTGCTGTGATCTGGGCATCGGCACCAGTAAATTCCCGATCACTCAGGTGCACTTTCCCCTGGGGGGTTTTCAGTTGTGACTAGTTATCCATCACAGTGAGCTTATGAGGCAAGGCTTGTATTTAGTTTCATTGGACAGATGAGCAAAGTGAAGCCAAGGAAATTGAGGGACTTCTCTTACGTCAAAACCTGAATTCTAATTTAATCCATATTTCTGGAGCACATATGTGTGAGGCAGAGGAGATATAGCTGTGAACCGGATGTCTTGGGTCCTGCCCTCTTGGCGCATTTGGATGAGTGGCCACAGGACAAACCAGTGCAGCTGGAGAAAGCAGGACTCAGCCAAATTCCTCATTTGTGTTTCCAGTGCTCCCCTGCCACCTTGCTTTCTTAGGTGCCTAATCATACAGCACAGGTGGGAGTCCTTCCCTAAGGTGTCCTGGAGCCTTTCTCAGCTCTCATCCCACGCTCACCTGTAGTACGACTATTTAGGGTCTGCCTCAGCTCCATGTGCTGAGCTCTCTGAAGGCAGGCTACATGGGTGATTTTTCTTTCCTTTCTACACACAGTGTCTTGCACATTATTGCAGCTTATTGAGCATTTGTTGAATGAAAAAACATTTTTTAAAAATTTAAAATAATTTCACGCTTGAGGAAAAGTTGCGAAAACGGTACAAAATTCCCCTTCACACAGATCCCCTAAATAGTAACATTGTCTCTGTATGTTTGTGTGTATATGCACACACACACACGAAATACACATATGCATAAGTACACATCTGTCTGTATGAAATTATTTTTCTGAACCATTTGAAACTAAGTTGCGAACATAATATCCCTCTTCTCCTAAATACCTCAGAGTGTATTATCTGAAAACAAGTACATTCTCTTACATAGCCAAAGTATAATTATCAAAATTAGGAAATTAACACTTAATCAGTTCTAATGTCTAATTTACAGACCTGATTCAAAATTCACCAGCTGCCCCACAAATGTCCTTTATGAAAAAAGAAAAAACATTGTCCTGGTCCAGGCTCCAGTCCAGGATCACAGACTGCCTGTTGCTGCCGTGGCTCCTTAGTGTCCTTTAATCTGGAAAACTTCTGTAGTCTCTTTTTTTCATGATCTTGAAGCATACAAGCCATTTATTTGACAGAATGTCCCTCACTTTGCATTTGTCAGCTGTTTGCTCATGATTAGGTTCAGATGATGCGTTTGTGCAGGAATGTCACACAAGCGATGTGTGTCCTCCTCAGTGCGTCATATCTGGAGGCGCGTGAGGTTCATTGCGTTACTGGCGATGCTAACTTGAATCACTTGGTCGAGGGGATACGCAACAGGCTTCTCCATCATCAGGTTATTCTTAATCCCTCTGTAAGGAATAAGTAGCTGGTGAAGAGATACTTTGAGACTATATACATATCCTGTTTCTCTTTAAACTTTCACTCTCTCGTTTTAGCATCCATTGATGAATTTCTGAATCCGTCATCCTCTCTATGCTTATTAGCTGTTATTCAAGTATAAGGAAGAAATTTCCTACCTCCTCCATTTACCTATATATACTAATATGGACTCATGCATTCTATTTTAATTTAATGGGTTATAATTTCTTCCTATCATTATTTCGATGCTCAAATTTTTTCAGATTTCGCCAATGGAAGCCCCTTCAAGCTGATCCCTATGTCCTTTTGACATGTTCCCATTACTCTTTAAGTTCTTCCTTATTTTCTGGCACAGTAAGATGCTCCAGACTCATTGTGCATTTTCCCAGTCCCAATCTGGAATCTAGCATTTTTCTAAGAAGCCCTGGTAAATAAATATAAGTGTCTCCTAGAAACCATTCAAACACTAGAAATGCATACCTGGAAAACAAATTTCCACTTTGTGTGTGTGTGTGTGAGAGGAAGATTAGCCCTTAGCTAACTGCTGCCAATCCTCCTCTTTTTTGCTGAGGAAGACTGGCCCTCAGCTAACATCTATGCCCATCTTCCTCTACTTTATATGTGGGATGCCTACCACAGCATGGCGTGCCAAGCAGTGCCATGTTCACACCCAGGATCCGAAACACTGAACCCTGGACTGCCGAAGTGGAATGTGTGCACTTAAGTGCTGCGCCACCAGGCCGGTCCCCAAATTTCCACTTTTGATGTACCTGCTCCCCAGCACACACCCATTTCACTGGTGACACAGAGCAGTCACGGCCCAAGAAAGAGGTGCCCATTTTTTGGACTTTATCATTCTCACCTTCTCCATTTCACTTAAAATAAATTCCATTCCCTCAAACCCAACCTGGATTTTTTTTAAATAGATAAAGTTGGTTAGGAAACAGATCGTCCTTGATTTGTGTCTACTTATGTTTAGAAAATAAAAATTATATTTAATAGTTTACCTGGGAAACAATTAGTGATTGCCTGTCGGATGCAGACTGAGAGTCAGGGTGTGGGTAGCCTGGTGGGATAGTCCATCCACATTGTCGTCAAACCTCTCTGGGCTATCCAAGCCCTTCTCACAGACACAGCATCTTTCTCTCTTGGAGAGAAGCATGGTGTAGAAGTTGGAAGCATCTGACATTTGGATTTGTCTGCCACGGTTGCTGATCTTGGGAAAGTACCAGAAGTCTCTGAAGTTGAGCTTCCTTGTGCCTAATGTGAGACGAGCACCCCTATGGCCAAGGGTGATTTGAGATAAAGACTCTTAGAATCGAGCACTTTGTGAGCAGGAATATCTTAGATCTCCTCTAGTTTAGTCCTCTCCTTTTCTAGGTGAAGAGAGTGCAGCTCAGAGAGGGTGAGTGGGCTCCCAAGGGCACCTCAAGCTGGGAAAGGGGCTGAGGCCTCCTGACCTGTGGAACAGCCTTTCCACTACTCATGCTCCTGACCAGGGAACGTGGCTCATGGGCTTTGGGAAAGGATGCTACAGAACCAAAGGTGTTGCTGCCACTGATCTGTTCGCTGAATCGTAGGTTTGAGAAGATGATCAGTGGCCTGTACCTGGGCGAACTCGTCAGGCTCATCTTGCTGAAGATGGCCAAGGCAGGCCTCTTGTTTGGTGGTGAGAAATCCTCTGCTCTCCACACTAAGGGCAAGATTGAAACACGGCACGTGGCTGCCATGGAAAAGTAAGCTACCGACTGGGTCTCTCCCGCCTTGACTCTGCAGAGGGTTAGGGTGGCAGTCAAGGTGTGGGATGCTCATGGTAGTGGTACAGCAAGAAGGAACCAGAGCTTCCTTCTTCACCAGGCGATTTCAGGCTTGAGCACAGCTTCATGGGGGTTAGCAATGCCTGCCGTGACTCAAATGTGGCTTCTCGTTGATTTCACCAGCCAGGGATTCTGCTGTCAGAGGCATACCTCCTCTCTGTGTTTTGCTGCCTTCTTCTTCACTAAAGTGGAGACCTGGAACTTTTTTAAGGTCGCAGACCCCTTTGAGAATCCGATTCAAGTTCTGGACCCTTTACCCCCCAAATGCACATTTGCACACAATTTTTCTTACAATATCAGGGCATCCTTGGACCCGTTAAAGCCCATACACGGAATCCAAGTTAAGAACTTCTTCCATAGTGAGTGCCTCCTCTACCTGGTACCATTGGGGACTGGCTTTGGCTCTGATGATCTGAGGCCTCATGCACAGGTCCCTGCAATGAGGAGTTGGCTGGTGAAGGTCCTGGCCCCAGTCAACTCAGGGTCCTGTTCCTCAGGCCTAGAAACCCTGGCATTGCCCTGAGCTTTGTAATCAGTTTAGATTCTGAGCTCAGCAGAGTGGCATCTGACTCCCAGAGTCTGTGTTTGTGCAGAACTTGGTTGGGACTGAGTTTCTGTGAAAGGAAATATTGTACAGAGCGGTTAAAAGGCTGAGCTCTGTAATCTAACTGTTTAAATCCTGGCCCTTGTACTTACTAGCTGTGTGACTGTGAACAAGTTACTTACCACCTCTGTGCCTCAGGTCTCTTTTCTGTACAATAGGGTAATGATAGTAGTTTGCCCCGGATTATTGTGAGGGTTGAATTAATACATGTCAAATCCTTAGACACGTGCCTGACACGTGCCTGGCACATAGTGAGTACTCAGTAAAGGGCGGCTGCTCTGGTCACTGTTGTTATTATATATATTTATTTATATTATTATATATATTATTATATATATTTATATATAGTTATTATATAACAACTGATATTGTTGTTATTGTTATATTACTATTTGCCAGCCTATTTATTTTCACAGTCCTGAGATGTAGGAAAGCTGATTCTCTGAGGGGGATCCCCTGGGGTGGAGAAGTGTGGTCCTCTCATTACTGTCCCTGGCCAGGTATAAAGAAGGCCTTGCCAATACAAGAGAGATCCTGACGGATCTGGGCCTTGAGCCTTCGGAGGCCGACTGCATTGCGGTCCAGCACGTCTGCACCATCGTCTCCTTCCGCTCAGCCAATCTCTGTGCAGCGGCCCTGGCAGCCATCCTGACGCGCCTCCGGGAGAACAAGAAGCTGGTGCGGCTCCGGACCACGGTGGGCATGGACGGCACACTGTACAAGATACACCCTCAGTGAGTGCTGCCTGCCGGCCCACACCCCCCACGAATGAGTCCCCCCTGGAACAGAGCCCCTGCGTTCTCTGTAAGCGATGCTGCTTCTCTGGGTTACTGGAACCAACTGTCTCCTATTGGTTCTGAGATTATAGGGGAAAGGGTGAATTCAGAGACTACATTCATCTAGCTGGCTAGGTTGCTTTGGGCATCATTCTTTTTTTTTTTTTTTTAAAGATTTTATTTTTCCTTTTTCTCCCCAAAGCCTCCCCCCAGTACATAGTTGTGTATTTTTAGTTGTGGATCCTTCTAGTTGTGGTATGTGGGATGCCGCCTCAGCATGGCCTGACGAGCAGTGCCATGTCCTCGCCCAGCATCCGAATGGGTGAAACCCTGGGCTGCCAAAGCAGAACGCACGAACTTAACCACTAGGCCAAGGGGCCAGCCCCGGGCATCATTCTTAAGGAAATATTCTGCTAACGCCAATTGCCTGACTAGAAAGACCATCCATCTGTGTGTTTATTCATCTTTCCACTCATCTATCCATCATTTCATCTATCTATCCAGTATTATTGAATACCTACTATGTGGTAAGATTGGAAAGTAAGATACACCCAGTTATAGATGGGGAAACCTCAGGATGGCAGAGGTTGCGAAGTTCACCTGAAGGATACTGGTAGGGAAATGAGAATTTCCCAGAAGGAGGGAGAAAGAAGCACCTCTGGCTAACAGAGGTGGTGTTGGAAGTCAGGCGGGTACACCCAGAAGGAGCGGGGGAAAGCTTCCCCTTTGGGCAGAGATGATGCTCAGCCAATACGTTATACGTGGACATGCTCTACTGGTTGAAGTATTAGTGATAAAATGGCCACTTCTTTGAGCCTCGCAAGTGTCCCTTCCACTGCCCCAGCTGCCCTAGTCCCTCCCTCAGTCACCCCCTGACCCCCACCATCCAGAAACTGAAGGAGCGAGCCGTGGCCCAGCAGGGCTCCCCACGACCCAGCTCTGCTGCTATACCTGTGTCTTCCCCGCTGGCTGGCCCAGCCTTTATGCTTGTTGTGTATTTTGTTGTCACCCTGCCTTCAGATACCCGAAACGCCTGCACAAGGTGGTGAGGAGACTGGTCCCGAATTGTGACGTCCGCTTCCTCCTGTCAGAGAGTGGCAGCGCCAAGGGGGCTGCCATGGTGACAGCGGTGGCCTCCCGAGTGCAGGCTCAGCGGAAGCAGATTGACAAGGTGCTGGCTTTGTTTCGGCTGACGCAAGAGCAGCTTGTGGGTGTGCAGGACAAGATGCGGGCTGAGCTCGAGTATGGGCTGAAGAGGGACACCCACTCCCTGGCCACAGTCAAGATGCTGCCCACCTATGTCTGTGGGATGCCGGATGGCACAGGTGGGCTGCGCACAGCTCCTTCTCTGAGGGGCCACCCAGAGGTCTCATCAAAACTCCTTGAATCCAGTTAGGTTTTTTGTTTTAAGAGCCTTGGATTCATGTCTGTAATGGAGGGAGGGAGAGCAGGGCAGAAGGTCAGTACTCCTTCTGAATCTATTTGTCTTGGTCCATCCAAGGCATTTGTAGTGAAATAATACCTGAGTTAGGTTATGTGCGTGTGTGTGTGTGTGTGTGTGTGTGTGTGTGTGTGTGTCTACATAGTTGAGAACACGGAGTGTACCCCATACTCTTGGCAAACAGAAGACCCAGATGCTGTCCCCGGGAGCTGCCATCTGGACGCTTGGAGTTGTCTGGCTTATCTTCCCACCCGCTTCTCTGCCTCTCTTCTCCCCTGGGGCTTGGCTCTCTTCCCTCTCCCCTCTCATCAGTTTCTGCCCCTGACTTTTCTGACCCTGATCCTTCTCCTGGTCCTCTGTGCTCAGCTGAAAGGAGCCACTAAACCGTGGAGTCAGTTCTTTAGACAAGTTACTTCACCTCTTTGAACCTCATGAGCCTCACCCAGAAATAATGACTTTTGTAAAATGCTTTATGTCTTGTAATTTGCTTTTGAACCTTTAATTTCATTTCATCTTCACAAACACTTTGCATGATACATAAAGAGAGAATGATTCCCATTTTATGGATGCCAAAACTGAGACTCAGAGTGGTTAGATGACATTCTCAAGGTCACACAACTGTACTTGGGGTCTCTCAACAGCAAAGATCTTTTCCAGAATCAATATCCTTCGAGTCTACGTAGGGAAAAAAACTGAGAGCAGTAGAAGACACTGTTCAGTTATTCATTCATCCCTTTTACGCTTCTGCCTTCATTCCTCAAGTTTCATTAAGCACTTACTATATGTCAGGCTCTGTTCTAGGCACAGTGATAGAGCAGTGAGCCTTGTGGCTCACGTTCTATTGGGCTGGCAGACAATAAACAAATAAATGACATATGGTACCATGTAATGAGAGGGGTTATGAAGAAAGATGAGCAGGATAAGGGAAAGGGAGCTGGCTGGGAGTGATGTCTTTGGCAAATTCAAGGAACAGCAAAATGACCAGTGTGGTTAGAACAGAATGAGTGAGGCAGTGAGCGAGGTAAAATGTTACACAGAACAGACTATGAAGCTCTGTGATGTCGGAGCGGTGAGAGGCCTGGGATAGCCCTGGGCGGTAGGGGTGTTGGGACTTGATATGGTTTCTTGTTAGTCAGGTGGCATCTGGGGAAGGGGAGAGTGGGGACAGGAAGAATCGTTTCATGCTGGTGATGAACAATTCCTCTAGGCCATACAGACAGGATGGAAACACCTCCCAGAGTTCTTTGCAGTCAGGGTAGCCTGGCCTGGATTCATCCTCAGAGGATCCTTGAACATAAGTGTCATGTGTGACCTTTACCGGATACGAAGAAAAGCAGGCCAGCCTCAGACAGGCTCCAAGTGCGTGCCCAGTGCTCTCATGCTGTGCTTAGTGACCGCCGTGCCCCTCTGGCCCATGAGCCCCAGAGGGGCACGTCCTGGATCTGCTCTGTTTCGGTGTCTCCTCGTCCTCCCAATGCCTCCACATGGGTCCCTGCTCTGTGCATGCTGGTGGAATGCAACCCCCGCTCTCTCCACCACAGAGAAAGGAAAGTTCCTTGCCCTGGATCTGGGGGGAACCAACTTCCGGGTCCTCCTGGTGAAGATCAGAAGCGGACGGAGGTCGGTGCGAATGTACAATAAGATCTTCGCCATCCCCCTGGAGATTATGCAGGGCACCGGCGAGGAGGTAAATGCTGGGCCGGGGGTTCTGTGCTCCGAGGTGCCAGCCTGCCACCTCGTATCACCGCTGACCGAGGACGACTGCCGCTCTCTCCCTGCAGCTCTTTGACCACATTGTGCAGTGCATCGCGGACTTCCTGGACTACATGGGCCTCAAGGGAGCCCAGCTGCCTTTGGGCTTCACCTTCTCGTTTCCCTGCAGGCAGGCGAGCATTGACAAGGTAAGACAGCCCAGCCAGGCTCACAGCCAGCCCAGTGGGCTTCCTTCCTCCACCAGAGGAATCTCAAGGTGCCTCTGAGTCACTGTTCATCCTAGGTAGGGGTCTCAAATTCAAGGTAGTTGGGGAAACATGATGGAGAATTCGAACCATTTCTTTTTTTCTATTTATTATGTTCCATTTTCGTTATTATTTTTTGGATTGGGGTTCACAAAAGAATTTAGGATGGTATACAATGAAGGGACACATGCATAAGAATACTGTTAAAAGAGAGGTCAGATCACAGTATGAAGAGATAGCAAGAGGTAATGAGCAGTTAAGGCGAGTTATCCCTCTAAGCCAGTCATATCATCTGTGTCTTCCTGGGCAGCCGGTGTGCACCGGGAAACACAATAGGTTGTAGGGTTTTTATCGTCTGATCAACAAAAACTTACCAGCGCATCAGAAGAAATGCGTTTCTTTCCTGAAACTAGAATCTCAGAAGACTGATTTAGTTGACTTTGAAGAACATCATGGATAATAATTTTAATAAATTATTTGTAATAATTTAGAAATGTATCACAAGGTCTCTTTGGAATTCTTGGGTAAAAACACTATCTGCCAGCTTGTGGAGAGCAGAGCGTTATCTCTCTCTCTGACAGGCTTATGTCAATCAGGCTTATAGGACTGGCATAAAAACAGAACACTGTGTCTGAATTTATAGGGAGAACTCTGGTCAGCACGGCAAGTCAACCAGAGAGCTCCTGACATTAAAAAGAAGAATGACACCAAAGATTTGTTAAGATTTTGTCTAATCCACTCAGTGTCCCCATCAGGTACACACTGGTTTTGTTTTGTTTTGTTTTTTACTATTTATTTATTTATGGTAAAATAGATATAAAACTTACCACTTTCACCATTTTTAAGTGTACAGTTCTGTGGCATTAAGCACATTCACATTGTTCAGAAACCATCACCACGGTCCATCTTCTGAACTTTTTCATCTTCCCAGCCTGAAACTCTATAGCCATTAAACATTAACTCCCCATATACCCCTCCCCCAGATCCTCGTAACCTCTATTCTGCTGTCCGTCTCTATGAATTTGACTATTCTGAGTATCTCATATAAGTGGAATCATACAGTATTTGTCCTTTTGTGACTGGCTCATTTTGCCTAGCATAATGTCTTTAAGGTCCATCCATGTTGTAGCATCTGTCAGAATTTCCTTCCTTTTTAAGGCTGAATAATATTCCATTGTATGTATACACACTATTTTTAATCACCATTTTGTGGTTGAGAAAAACAGAGACACAGAGAGATTAAGCAAGTTGTCCAAATTGCCACATCTGTAAACGGTGGTGGAGGGTTCCAGCCCAGGACACTGGCCCGAGAGCCAGGCTCTTGCACTTGGCCTGCGAGGAGACCAGGCCTGGGGCCCAGTGTTTTAGCATCATCTTGGCTGTGATGCACAGTACACCTACGTGTGTGTAATCAAAGCAAAAAATCAAGAAATCATACTTCCCCTTACTGTGTGCGTTATGCTCTGCTTTCTATCCTATTTCATTTCCATGTGAGGAAATTGAGGCATGCGGGTCTCGTCCAATGGGTGGGTGTGCAGTTGGAACTGAAGCAGAGCTCCCCAGGGCTCTGAGAATGCCGTGGAAACACATGCTTCAGTGGGCTTCCCTCCTCCCCCACTCCAGTCATTCAGAGAGCGGGGAGAGAGGGCTTCAGAAGGCCACGTTATCTGGCAATATGGCTAGATCTCTCAAAATTAAAAGTGCCAGAATGCTAAGAGCCAGAAGATCTGTTTCTCAAGATTCCATTTCTCAAACACGTGCCCAAGGAGGAATGAACGAGAGGTTCACCACAGCACCGCTTTTTAATCATGAAAATTTAGAAATAACCCCTTGTCTGGCAGTGGAGCAGGACTAAATAAACTGTGCAATCAATCAGATGGAGTTAACTACTTGATTTTTATTTAACAGACACATACATGGTGCTTGCTCTGTGCCAGACGCGGTTCTAAGTGCTCCACAGATGTTACTCACCTGACGGGAGGCAGCGGAGTGCAATAGTTAAGAGCAGGGGCCTGGAACCACAGCGCCTCCATTTGAATCTTGGCTTCTCCACTTACTGGCTGTGTGTCCTTGGGAAAGTTATTTAACGTCTCTGTACCTTGGTTTCCTCATTTGAAAAAATGGGGATAAAAATAGTACTTATTTTATAAGTGTGTTTTGTGGCTTTTTTTATTTCCTTGCAATTATATTTGAGGAGTATTTTGCACAGTGAAGGAATGTGGCAGATCCATATTAATTGACCTGGAAAGGTCTAGGAGATAAGTTATTGAGTGAGAAAAACAAATTGCAGTAGTCCACACACAGTAAGAATTTATTTATTTAAAAATACATGTAAACAGAGAGAAAAAGGTCTGAAAGGATTCGTATCAGACGGGTAACAGAGGTGACCTCTCAGATTGGGGGGATGGGGAGTTAAGGGAGTTGATCCTTATCAGTAACACTTTAATTTTTAATAAGGGTAATGCATTTCTGTGTTACTACTGTGTGCATTATTAATTAGTAATTAATAAAAATTAATACATCATCAGGGAGGGGAGCCTTGTGCAGCTGTCCACGGTCTTGAACAATCGATGGACGCTAGGACACCACTGTTTCTCCTCACCCAGGACACTGGGCCTCCAGGCCTCTCTCCCAGCACTGCTGACAGGTTCATGAAGACACAGCTAAGAGGGAGGGAGAGACCAAGGGACAGCGGGAGCAAAGGTGTCAATGGCTGGAGAGACAAAAGAGAGACTTTTAAAAAATATTATCTTTATATAATTGCAACTAATAAGAAAGGGAGATTTTTTTATTTGGGGGTGAATCTCTAATGTACACCTCCCACCAGGAAAGAAACAAGGGAGTCCAGCTTCCCCAGGACTATGGGGAAAAGGAGAGAGACCAGGGCTGAGGGCCTCAGGGTGAGGTGGCCGTCCAGCCCACAGAGTTGGGAGCGCTGCCATCAAAGCTGCTAGCCACCTCTCCTATCCCAGGGCCTCTCCTGGCCTAGATGCCCCAGCTTTACCTGCCCTCGCCCCACCGCCGGCTCTAGCTGTGGAGTCTGAGGCTAGACTAACTCCTGCCTCCAGCTAACAGTGTAACCTTGGGCTTCCTTTTAAAAATTAAAAATACGTTTTTATCAGTATTATAAAAATTATGCATGCTAATTTTAGGAAAACTAGGAAATATAGACAAGCAAAAAAGGGAGACTAAAAGGCACCCATAATCTTGCACCCAGAGAGAACCACTGTCACCCCCTGGTGTATGCATTGTTCCAGACCTTTTTCCAGATTTGAGTGTGTGTGTATGGTTTTTAAAATAATAATAGAATAATTCACCAACTATGTTTATTTAATGTGTGTTCACTGAACAGTGTATGGTGAACATCTTTCTCTAACATCCAATGTCCTCTTACAGCATGATTTTTTATAGCTGTGTAGTATTTCCTGTATCGATGTACAAGATGATGGATCCATGCTGTTGGAATGATTCGATGCCTCTAGTTTTTCACTGTGCAACAGTGCTTTGATGAACATTTTGTAGCTTTATCTTTAATCACATCTTAATCTGTCCTTGGCTAAATTAGAAGTGGGACCACTATGGTCCAGGCCTTTGTTCTGTGCAGTCGTGGCCAGGGAACACTAGTTGACCCTTGATGAATATGAATTACTGCAGTTAATCCACTCGGCAGCAGACCTTGTTTGAGCATCATGCTCTGTGATGCCTCTGGGCCCAGTGTTAGGGCTGCAGAGATGGAAGCACTGTCAAAAGCACATGCGTTTGACCAGAGGTCAACTATAGTGCCTTGCATCTATTTGACTTTGAGGGTGTACAGTAGTCCCAGCAAACTATTTCTCAAATGAATTTCCTCTCCTTTCTTTCAGGGAACACTCATTGGGTGGACCAAAGGCTTCAAGGCCACTGACTGTGAAGGAGAAGATGTAGTGGACATGCTCAGGGAAGCTATCAAGAGGAGAAATGTATGATGTGGTGTTGAGGCTCATGCCTGATCGTGCCCCTTCTCCCAGGCCCCTCCTGAGCCTGTTTGGCTTGTACACTCTGCTGACAGTAGTGCTGCTTCCTCTGCAGGAATTTGACCTGGACATAGTTGCAGTCGTGAATGACACAGTGGGGACCATGATGACCTGTGGCTATGAAGATCCTAATTGTGAGATTGGCCTGATTGCGGGTAAGTGGTCAGGCATGTCCCATTGGCCTACTCCTGTCTGCTCTTTCCCTTTTTACATAGTGAGAAGCTGGGGGTCATTGTTCCATTACACAGAGGCTCTGAAGCCAGCTTTTCCAAGGCAGAGATGACGTTAAGATTGGAATTCCAGGTGTCCTAATTCTTAGGTCTTTACTTAATATCTTTCTCTTTGAGGGTCCTAAGCCAAGGTTATCCTTTCTATTGAGGACGGAGAATAACATAGAAAGAGGGAATTTTCAAATTAGAGCCTTGGGGCAGATTATCCTGAGGGGAAGGAGGCCGCTGTTGGATCGTGTTGACCTGAGCCCGAGGGAGCTAAATCTTCATGCTGCCTCCAACACATACCTCCTCTGTTCTCTGACCTCTTCTGGCTTTCAGAGTGTACAGGATGGGGAAGAGCAGGAAAGAAATCTAGGAGAGGAGAAGGGTGGAGTGTGAGGTATAACGTAGGCATTTTAGAGGTCTTTAGAAGTCCAGCAGTGATTAAGGGCAAAGGTGGAGTCTAGAGGGATGACTCTAAGAGGTAAGGAGACAGGTGGGATTTGAACAGGGGGAGCAGAGATAATGGGCATTCCAAGTGACAGGCACAGGTGAAGTAATGACAGAATCTGGGGAAATTGTTCCAGTTGGTTGTCTGGGCTTCCTGAAAGTGAGTAGTAGGTAGAACAAGGAGATGGGAATAAACTGAGGTGTCTTCATTCAATGCCAGGTAAGAAGTTTCCTCTCACTCTAACTCTTACCCTTTTTGTGACCTTGGGCAGGTTACTTATTCTGTCTGGACTTGAGTTTCCTCATCCGTGGGAAGGGTTAGGCTAGATCTAGGAGGGCAAAGAGGTGAGACTTGTTTGATTGAATGTAATAGTTGACTGGACTCTTGTGTTGAGAGTAGTTCTGAGAGCAGGTCATGGGCAAAGGAGAAGAGGGCAGCTTACAGATGCCATGCGTTTACTCATCCAAGACGTGATGATTCTTCATGGTCCCTTCCAGCTCTGACTGCTAACTCGGTGACTACTTGGAAGCTCACTTTGTATACCTGTAGCTTAACAATAATGATGAGGATGATGATGATGTGATGTGGTGATGGTAATGATGATGATATCATGGGTACCATTTATTGAATACTGTCTATGTGGAGGAAACTAACTGATGTCATCTCGGGTTTTTTTCTTTATAAGGCAGGTATTATTTCCTTTTTACAGAGGAAGAAATTTGCCCTCTGAAAGATGAGATACTTGCCTATGAGTGTAAAGTTAGAATCCACACCCAGTTTATCTGCTTCAAGCCTAAATTCCTATCCACTGCACTCCACTGGCTCTTTAAGACCTTGTGGTATCTTTTGAAGACTAAAGTCCCTTCACGATTCCTTCTAGGAACAGGCAGCAACCTATGCTACATGGAGGAGATGAGGAACATCGAACTGGTAGAAGGGGACGAAGGGAAGATGTGCATTAACACAGAGTGGGGAGGATTTGGAGATAATGGCTGTATAGACGACATCCGGACCCAATATGACAAGGAGGTGGACGAGGGGTCCTTGAATCCTGGCAAACAGAGGTGAGGAGGGTGGGTGTGTACATTATGTAGGTTGTGCAGTATATGACTTTACCAGATCTAAGAAGGGTTCCATTTTCATATCATGGACACTATAGCATTGTATATTTATTACAAATCTCCATTAGATGTCAGTGAAGTGTCTTATTTGAAAAGCAAAATACTATTTTTTTATAGAATAAACTTTTTTTTTATTATAGTCTATTTTAGACGTTAGATAAATGGTTTTTTCTCTTTTTTTATTGCAGTAACATTGGTTTATAACATTATATAACTTTCTGGTATACATCATAATATCTTTTGAATTCTGTGTAGATTACATCATGTTCATTACCCAAATATTATTTACAATCCATCACCACACATGTGCCTAATCATCCTTTCACCCTTCTCCCACCCCCTTCCCCTCTGGTAACCACCAATCCAATCTCTGTTGCTATGTGTTTGCTTGTCGTTGTTTTTATCTTCTACTTATGAGTGAGATCATACAGACTCTAAGTTATTTCACTTAGCATAATACCCTTAAGGTCCATTCATGTTGTCGTAAATGGCCAGATTTCATCGTTTCTTATGACTGAGTAGTATTCCGTTGTGTATATATATCACATCTTCTTTATCCATTCGTCCCTTGATGGGCACCTAGGTTGCTTCCAAGTCTTGGCTATTGTGAACAATGCTTCAGTGAACATAGGGGTGCATGTATCTTTATGCATTTGTGTTTTCATGTTCTTTAGAGAAATACCCAGTAGCGGAATAATCTTAATTAATCTTAATTTTCTGAGGAATCTCCATACTCTTTTCCATAGTGGCTGCACTAGTTAAAAGCAAAATATTATGATGTTTCCAACAAGTATAAAGAAGGGGTGCCTTTTTCTAGTTGCCATAAGGTGCCATGAGGTCTGGTAGTGGCTTTGGAAGTGAGGCAGAGGTTGTCAAAAAGTCCATTCATTGTGAGCGAGTGTCACAGAGCAGGGATGTGGTGACTTAGTGGGCCCTCTTGGGATGAGCTTCTGGTAGGTCCAGTTTAGAGGTCAACATCCTCAGCCTTTCAGGAGCTGGCTGCCAGATTGATAACCTCTGTTGTTCTGGAAGTGGGGAAGAGGCCACAGGTGATGGATGGGAGTCTGGTTCTCAACCATGACATCATGTCCCACCATGGATCACAATCACTTGTGAGGTGTATTCCAATTACTAACCATACTGAAAACAATGAGTGATTCTTTTTTTTTTTTTTTTAAAGATTTTATTTTTTCCTTTTTCTCCCCAAAGCCCCCCGGTACATAGTTGTATATTCTTCATTGTGGGTCCTTCTAGTTGTGGCATGTGGAACACTGCCTCAGCGTGGTTTGATGAGCAGTGCCATGTCTGCGCCCAGGATTCAAACCAACGCAACACTGGGCTGTCTGCAGCCGAGCGCGCGAACTTAACCACTCGGCCATGGGGCCAGCCCCTGAGTGATTCTTTAAAAAAAAAAAGAGTGTTTTTTTGATTTGTTTTGGTTTTTTTTGCTAAGGAAGATTCACTCTGAGCTAACATCCATGCCAATCTTCCTCTGTTTTTTAGTATGTGGGCTGCCAGCACAGCATGGCTACTAACAGAGCTGTGTAAGTCTGTGCCTGGGAACCAAACCTGGGCCGCTGAAGTCGAGTATACTGAACTTAAGCACTAGGCCCCCAGGGATTTCCCAAGAGTACATTTTAATTACATTCTCATATACCTTCCTGAGTAGGAGAGAAAGGGGTTAATGGGGAATAGAGCTAGGATGCTGGGAGTTGATGATTTAACTTGGGCTCATCCTTTACAACAGGGGTTGACAAACTTTTTCTGTAAAGGACCAGATAGTAAAAAATGCTTTACTATCAGGCCATATGGTCTTTGTTATAACTAAACTTAGTGTCTCAATATACAAAATAAGATGAAAATATAGATTTATTGTGATGGACGATATGTAAGTGGAGAAGTTGAGCAGATAGGTAAGCCCACCTGCACTAGGATTGCTCCAGAACCCAGGGACCTTATCTCTGAATCCCAAGTTGGGACATCTGAGTATCAAAGCTCTTCTCAAGGAGCAGGTTCCCCCTGACTTAATTTTGTGTCTAAATCTACTGGAGGCTCACATTTTTGGAGTGAGAGTTTAAGGGGGCAACACATTTGAATTTGCCTTGCAGTCACCATAATTTGTCTGTATCATGTTGGTTCCTTAGACTGATGAGGTCCTGAACAGTTAAGAGAACACAAGTCCTGGGGCCGGCCCCGTGGCCGAATGGTTAAGTTCATGTGCTCTTCTTCAGTGGCCCAGGGTTTCGCCAGTTTGGATCCTGGGTGCAGACATGGCACCACTCATCAGGCCATGCTGGGGCAGCGTCCCACATGCCACAACTAGAAGGACCCATAACTAAAAATACACAACTCTGTACTGGGGGCTTTGGGGAGAAAAAGGAAAAATAAAATCTTTAAAAAGAGAGAGAGAACACAAGTCCAGCACATAAGTCTCAGGCACCCTCAGATTTGCATTTGGCCTTGCAGGCAGTGGCAGTCCAGCTCCACAATAACAACAATCACTGTTATTAATACTGCCACACATACCTGAGCAGAGTGCCTGGCCAGTGCCTGTCTGTTACAAAGCCCCTTTTCCTCTTGTTCCTTCCCTCATGGAGCTCACAGCCTGGTAGAAAGGGGAAAGGGAGCTAACACTTTTTGAGCCCCACCGCGGGTGCTGACAGTTTACATGTATTATCTCACGGAGCGAAGTCTATAGTGGAACAGATTTCTTCAAATACAAAGCCAAGGAGAATCTCCAGTAGAACAGGTTTATAATACAAAGCCACAGAGAACCGGTTTGGGGGCCAGGAAAGGGACTCACTTTTGCTTAGTGCCTACTGTGTACCAGAAGCTAGCCTCCCAACAGTCTCGTGGGGTCGTTGTTTTGCTCCCTGTTTCATAGATGATGGTTTTCAGTGCTTGCTCAGGTCATGCAGCTAGTATGTAGCAGAGGTCGGACCTGGCTCCTGGTCAACATGGCTCCAAAGCCTGGCTTTCCCACATCATGCTGGCTCCTGCATTGCATTTCTCTTGGCCTGCTGCCCACTCTGAACCGCTCCGAACGAGGCAGCTGGCCAATCCAGTGGTGTGCTTTCCACACCCCGACCCATGGTCCTTTTGGGAGCCACTCACCAGCCCTGATTTTTCTACTCTCACCAACCTTATCCCTTTCTCCAAACAGATACGAGAAAATGACCAGTGGGATGTATCTGGGAGAGATCGTGCGGCAGATCCTGATTGACCTGACCAAGCAGGGTCTCCTCTTCCGTGGGCAGATTTCAGAGCGTCTCCGAACCAGGGGCATCTTTGAAACCAAGTTCCTGTCGCAGATCGAAAGGTGACGTTTGGCCGAGTTCACCTGCTCGGTGCGAGAGGCCCTGATTGGGAGGTGCTGCTGTCACAGCACATTTGGGTGTCTAGCAGATTTGAGATTTAAAAACAAAGACAGTGAGGGCCTGGCTGGGCACAGGGCTGCCTCTGGGGGCTGCTTCCTCTCTCCAGCAGCATCAGGACCACAGCACATAGCCGAGGGGCCAGCAGCCTGCCTGGTTCCTAAACTGTTAGACAGGAGTTAGCCTAGCCTAGAAAATGATACTTTTTCATTCCTGAAAAGATGAGGTATCCGTAATATGAAAGAAAAGTCTTTTAAAAAATCATCCATATGCTCACTACTAAATATTGCTGTTTTGATTTTTGCATATATATTTCCTTTCAAGTTCTTGAATGTGTGTAAACATATTTTCATAATTGAAATCATATTATACATATCATTCTGTATATTGTTTATTCAGTGTTCATGGAAATTTTCATTTATAATTCTGGTTTTTATTTTTTGTTACGGAAAGTTTTAAATATATACAAAAGTGGGGGGAATAGTAAAATGGCCCTGATGTTTCCATCACCACCTTCAACAATGATCAACTCACGGCCAGACTGGATTCACGTACATACCCCTGCTTTCCCCACTCCCAGACTGGATTGATTTGAAACAAAACCCACGTTTTATGTCAGTTCATCTATAAATATTTCAAAATGTATTTATAAATATGAGTTCTTTAAAAAAACATAACCACATTACCATCACCATGCCTGAAATAGCTAATGATAAACTTTAATCTCATAAAATATCCTGTCAGTGTTCCTATTTCCCAAATTACCTAAAAATAATGGTTTTTACAATTCATTTGTTTGCATCAGTATCCAAACAAGATCCATACAGGGCATTTGGTTGGTATCTTTTGAAAATCTCTTTTAATCTATAGACTTCTCCTTCCTCTCTCATTTCCCCTTATAATATATTTGATAAAGAAACTATCATTTTATACTATGTTTCCTATGTTCTCGATTTTGCTGATTGCAGCATTTAGCATTTTCCTCTGTCCCTTGTATTTCTTGCAAAGTCATAGTTAGACCCAGATGCGTGGTTAGATTCAGTGTGGAATCTTGGACAAGACTATTTCGTAGGTGGCACTGAGTTGTCTGTCTGTCTGTCTCTCTTTCATGTTAGCAGTCACTGATGATCATTGCCTAGATCTACGATTTCCCTAGAGATTGTGAAACGGTGATAATGTAATGCTATCACTCCTTCTGCAGTTATTAGCTGGAATATTTTTAGAAAGAGGAACTTCCCCATATCAACTCTTTGGTGTAATTATCATTTTAAATGGCTGCATAATGTTATATTATGTTGCTATCCTATAATTTACTAAACTTTCCCTTTACTATAGGATGTCTAGCTTATAATTTGTGGATTTCTGCAATTCTAAGTAACACCGTAATTATTCTTTTTGCACACATAGTCATTTGCATCTCATAAATTATTTCCTTACGAGTAGAAGCATTTGGTTAAAAGAAACATTTCCCTATGGACACACTTTTTTAAAAGGTAGTTCTAGTCTCCACCACCACCACCAGTTATGTACAAGTGCGCCAGTGTCACTGCTTTTCATAGCAGCGCTTGATGTTATCAGAGGCTTCGTGTCTGCAATTTCTCTCAGTTTGCATTCATTCATTCAGTTCTCTCGGTCTAGATGCCAGCAAGTCAAAAATCACTTCAGGAACAAAATTAACTTGACAAATGAAAGAAGTGTACTTAATGAGGTAGATGAAATGGATGGTTGCAGAGGAACTCCCGCTGTCTAAGGAGACAGTGGCGGGACGGGCAGCAGCAGCCATTTTGTGTTTTGAAGCATTGATTGGCAGATGCTCTGCATCCTCTTTCGGTCTGGTCTTCAACCCCTCAGATCTGAAAGTGCAAGTTAAAAGTCGTCATCTTTGGTGACCAGGGGGATCCTCTTCTGCTGTGGGGGAAATTGTCTCTCCCTCATGTGTGGGAGAGAAGCAGATTAACTTATCTTTGCCTTGGGTTTTTCTGGCCTGAATAACAAAGAAAGTTGTTTCTGGACGAGAGCAAGTTGGCAGGACCTATATGCCTCCAGAAATCTTTGCTTCTGCCACCCAAAAGCTGCCTGCTTTGGATGCTTTGATTTCTCCTGGTGTTTTTTTAAACCATCATGGGATTAGAGGAAAATCATCTCCATCTAGCACCAATTGTAAGACAGTAGGTGCTGCTGACTGCGGCCCATGTCCAAGCATGTTGTTGGTGGGGTGGGACAGTGAGTCCAGTGATTGTCAGGGGAAGAAGCCTGAGATTCTCAGAGCCTGAGTTGTTTTTTTCAAAGATTGGCACCTAAGTTAACATCTGTCGCCAATCTTCTTTTCTTTCCCCCTTCTTCTCCCCAAAGCCCCTTAGTACATAGTTGTATATTCCAGCTGTAGATCCTTCTGGCTCTGCCATGTGGGACACTGCCTCAGCAAGGCCTGATGAGCGGTGCTAGGTCAACACCCAGGATCCGAACTGGGAAACCCTGGGCTGCCCAAGCAGAGTGCGCGAACTTAACCACTCGGCCACGGGGCTGGCCCCCTCAGAACCTGAGTTTAAGATTCATCTCTACCACTTAACTTGTTTGTGTTGTGTGACCTTAGGCAGGTTGCTTTACCTCTCTGGATCCCAATTTCCTTCTTTATAAGATAAATAATTGCTCTGCTGCTTAACCCCAAGGATTGCTCTGAAGATCAAGTAAGGGAATGTTTGTGAAAGAACTAGGTAAACTGTGAAGGGCTGGACTGTGGAAGGAACTTCAGGTTTTATTTTTCTACATACTAGAAAAACCCACTTTTTTTCTTCCTATACAAATATTACTCATTTATAAGCAAAAGGAAGAAAATAAGAATTACTGATAATCCTATCGACATCTGAATAGATTTCCTTCTGCTCTTTTTTTCTGTGCAAGGGCAGACATTGAAAAACAAACCAGGCTCATACGGCACATAGTATTTTATGATCTATTTTTTCACTTAGTATGTCAGGAACATTTTCCGTAGCATTAAATATTCTCATGCAAACTCATCTTTAAGGTCTGCAAAGAATATTGTCTGGCTACACCATTTACCTGCTGAATCTGCTATATGGCCATGCGGGTTGTTTCTCAGTTGTCCTCTTGACAGCACTCTTCTTCCTTAAATACGGTATCTCCCCTTTCCATGGTTTCACTTTCCCTGGTTTCAGTTACCTGTGATCAACCGCATATTAAATGGAAGATTCCAGAAATAAGCAATTCATAAGTTTTAAATTGCACGCTGTTCTGAGTAGCGTGATGAAATCTTGCGCAGTCCTGCTCCACCCACCCTGGACATGAATCAGCCCTTTGGCGTATTCACGCTGTATATACGCTACTTGCCCGTTAGCCACTTGTAGCTGTCTGGGTTATCAGAATGACTGTCAAGGTGTCGCAGTGCTTGTGTTTAAATAACCCTTATTTTACCCAATAATGGTGCCAAAGTGCAAATTAGTGATGCTGGCAATTTAAATATGCCCGAGAGAAGATGCTTCCTTTAAGTGAAAAGGTGAAAGTTCTCAATTTAATAAGGAGAGAAAAAAAATCCTATGCTGAGGTTGCTAAGGTCTATGGTAACTTTTATTACAGTATATTGTACTAGTTGTTTTATGTTATTGTTATTTATTGTTGTTAATCTCTTATTGTGCCTAATTTGTTAATTAAACTTTATCATAGGTATATATGTATAGGGAAAAACATAGTGTATATAGGGTTTTGTACCATCCACGGTTTCAGGCATCCACTGGGGGTCTTGGAACGTATCCTCCATGGATAAGGGGGGACTCCTGCATTACCTGAGACACTCAAGGCTATAACTTCACACTGTTTAGCTTGGGAGTCAGAGCTCTGTAAGTTCACTGAGAGATCATTAGGGTCTAGACTCGAGGCCAGCCTGTATCCACGATGGGTGCCTCTCTGCGTGTGCTGATGGTCCTAACAGGTTCCTAGTCACTAAGGCGCTGACTGTACGTTGCATATTCATTTATTCACTTGCTCATTGAACGTATGCAGCCCTATGCTGGCTACTATTGAGAATACAGTCTTACCCTCAAAGAGCTTGTAGTCTAGTTCGGAAGAGAAAGTAGAGAATCAGGAAAAGTTAAATAGAAGGAAAGTTGGCCCCAGTTGAATGGAGCCAGAGTACTGGAGCGGGTGTGTTCAATGAGAGAGGCTAGACTCGGTGTGAGAAGGCGTGTGTTTGAATCCCTGCTCTCTACTGTCTGTGGTCAAGTCTCTAGCACTCTGAACCTCAGATTCCTCTTCTGAAAATCAGGCACCTGATGTGTTGGTTACTGAATCTAATAATAGCTCCTAGTGAGATAATAGATTTGAACATGCCTAACAATAGAGGTGCTCACACTTTTTTTTTTTGAGGAAGATTAGCCCTGAGCTAACATCCACCACCAATCCTCCTCTTTCCTGCTGAGAAAGAGTGGCCCTCAGTTAACATCAGTGCCCATCTTCCTCTATTTTATATGTGGGACGTCTGCTGCAGTGTGGCTCGATAAGTGGCGTGTAGGTCCCTACCTGGGATACGAACTAGCAAACCCTGGGCTGCAGAAGCAGAGCATGTGAACTTAACCATTGCACCACTGGGCTGGCCCCTCACACTTCATTTTTTAAAGATGATAGGACCTCCTGGGGGTGGCAGACCTTCCTGGGTCTCAGCTTCTAAGGCGTTCTGCTCCAACTTAGCTGTTGTCTGGATCATTTTCTCCTCCCTCCTGCCAGGGCATCCAGGGATGAGGGGGCTTTGAGCCATGCGGAGCGGGTGCCAGGGCCCCAAGAAGCAGACCCTGACATCCTGCTGTGCTTGCCTGCAGTGATCGGCTGGCCCTCCTCCAGGTCAGGAGGATCCTGCAGCAGCTCGGCCTGGACAGCACGTGTGAGGACAGCATCGTGGTGAAGGAGGTGTGCGGAGCTGTGTCCCGGCGGGCGGCCCAGCTCTGTGGCGCTGGCTTGGCCGCCATTGTAGAGAAAAGGAGGGAAGACCAGGGGCTCGAGCGCCTGAGGATCACCGTGGGCGTGGATGGCACCCTGTACAAGCTGCACCCGCAGTGAGTGCCCCAGAAAGGCAGGAGTGGGAGGGTGCTGAGGCCAAGTGTGGACCCAGTTGAATCTCACAGGCAAGGTGTGAGCCCTGGGGGCTCTGCTTCCTAGAGGCATGATGATGGAGTGTTAGCCAGTGTCCTCATCTGTAAAAGGCAGGCAGTAATAATCTCCATCTCATAGGGCTGCATGAGGATTAAGAGGGTTAATACAGGTAAGTGCTTCACACAGCCCTCAATAAATACAGGTGATTATTATGAATGTATTCCCACCCCACCTCACAAGGGAGGGGAGTAGTGAGAACTGATCATTTTGCACAGCACAGAGTATTGGTCAAGTGTGAGCTGGTTATAATTTCCTCAGCTCAGAGTCAGTGGACAGAAGAATTAAGAGCCCTGCCAGGCAATGTGTGTTTGAATCCCGACTCCACCACTTAGAAGCTAGGAGGCCTAGGGCCAGTTGCTTACCCTCTCTGAACCTCAGTTCTTTATCTGTAAAATGAGGACAAAAACTGTACCTACCTCACAGGCTGTCATGAGGATTAAATTAAATAGCATCTTAGAATGCATAGCACGTCACGAAAACTTCAATGATGAAAGCTATTCGTTTTATTTAACGTTTTACATTTTATTTTGGTGAATAGGAAAAGTTTTAACACGCTTATACAAATTTCTGATCATGCTGAAATGTATCCACAAACATATTATCATTCTAATCCTTGATCCTTAGCCCTTTCCATGCTGCTAATGAATATCCAGAATAACTGACTGGAGTCTTCTCTCTTGGTTTCCCCCTGGGGTCACATATTTTTAGTTTAGTTGGCCTAGAACCAAGACTTGACCAAAGGACAAAAACCACATGGTCAGGGGCAGACAAAGGATTTGATAAAATCCAACACCTTTCAGAATAAAAGGCATGAAGGGATCAACAAACTAAGTACAAGGGAACTTCCTCAGCCTGATAAAGAGCATCTGTGAAAAACCTAGGGGCTGGCCCGGTGGCGCAGCGGTTAAGTTTGCACATTCTGCTTCAGGCGGCCTGGGGTTTGGCGGTTTGGATCCCGGGTGCGGACATGGCACCGCTTGGCACACCATGCTATGGTAGACGTCCCACATATAAAGTAGAGGAAGCTAGGCATGGATGTTAGCTCAGGGCCAGTCTTCCTCAGCAAAAAGAGGAGGATTGGCAACAGTTCGCTCAGGGCTAATCTTCCTCAAAAAACAAAACACAAATGAAAAACCCAGAGCTGACATTGTACTTACTGTTGAAAGACTGGATGCTTTTCCCTTAGGATCAGGAAGAAGACAAGGGTGTCCCCTCTCACCCCTGCTCTTTCAACGTTGCGCTGCTTCTAGTGCTGCCTCCAGATGGTCATGTGGTTTTTGCCTCTCAGTCAAATCTTCGTTCAAGGGAGAGGCTTGTAGGAACCAGGCCCAAAATATGTGACCTCAAGGGAAAAATCAAGGGTAAGTCTAGCCAGGGCAGTTGGGCAAGAAAAAGAAATAAAACGCATCTGTATTGGAAAGACCAAAGTAAGACTATCTTTTTTTTGCAAATGGCATGATTTTGTATATAGAAAATCCTAAGGAATCCATGAAAAACTATTGGAAATAATAAACAAGTTCAGCAAAGTTTCAGGATACAAGATCAGTATACAAAAATCAATTGCATTTCCATGCATTAGCAATGACTAATCTGAAATTAAGAAAACAATTCCATTTACAACAGCATCAAAAACAATAAAATACTTAGTAATACATTTTAAAAAAGAAGTCCAAGACTTATACGTTGAAAACTATAAAACATCATTGAAAGAAATTAAAGAAGACCTAAATAAATGGAAAGATATCTTGTGTTAATGGGTCAGAAGACTTAATATTGTTAAGATAGCCATACTTCCAAAAGTGATCTTCAGATTCAACATGATCAGTGTCAAAATACCAGCAGACTTCCTTACAGAAATTGGCAAGTTGATCATCCATAAAGTTCATATGGAAATGCAAGGAATTCAGAATAATCAAAACAATCTTCAAAGAAGAACAAAATTGGAGAATTCACATGACTCTATTTCAAAACTTACTATAAAGCTATGATGATCAAGACAGTGTGATACTGACATAAGGATAAACATATACATCATTGGAATAGAATTGAGAGTCCACAAGTAAACCCACACATTTATGGTCAATTGCTTTTCTTTTCTTTTTGTGAGGAAGATTGGCCCTGAGCTAACATCTGTTGCCAATCTTCTTCTTTTTTGCTTCAGGAAGATTGTCCCTCAGCTAACATTTGTGCCAGTCGTCCTCTATTTTGTATGTGGGATGCCACCACAGCTTGCCTTGATGGCGGTGTGTAGGTCCACGCCCAGGATCCGAACCCATGAACCCTGGGCTGCAGAAGTGGAGCATGTGAACTTAACTACTCCACCACTGGGCCAGCCCCGGACAATTACTTTTCAACAAGGATGCCAAAACCATTCAATGGGGGAAGGAGTATTCTTTTCAACAAGTAGTGCAACAACTGGATATCCACATGCAAAAACACAGAGTGGGACTCCTACCTCATGCCATGTACAAAAATTAACTCAAAATGGATCAAAGTCCTGAATTTAAGAGCTAAAACTATATTAGGCAATGATTTCTTAAATATGAAATCAAAAAGCATAAGCAACAACAAAAAAATATATAAATTTGGCTTCATCAAAATTAAAAACTTTTGTACTTCAAAGGACACCCAGAGAAAGTAAAAAGACACAATGGGAGAAAATATTTGCAAATCATATATCTGATGAGGGACTTATATCTAGAATATATAAAGAACTTTTACAGCTCAACAATGAAAAGAGAAGTAACCTAGTTAACAAATGGGCAAAGGGTTTAAATAGGTTTCACTCCAAAGAAGATCTGCGAATGGCCAATAAGCATGTGAAAAGATGCTCTTTATCACTAGTCACTAGGGAAATGCAAATCAAAACCATGAGATACCATTTCACACCCACTAGGATGGCTATAATAAAAAAGACTGACAATAATAAGTGTTGATGAGGATGTGATGAAATTGGAGTGCTCATACATTGCTGGTGGGAAACAGTTGGGAGTTCCTAAGAAAGATAAACGTAAAGTTATGATATGTCCCAGCAATTCCATTCCCAGTTGTACCCAAGAGAATCGAAAACTTGTTCTCACAAAAACTTGTTGGATGTTCTTAGCAGCATTATTCACGATAGCCAAAAGGGGAAACAACCCAAATATCCAACTGATGAATGGATAAACAAAATGTGGTATGTCCATACAATGGAATATTACTCATAAAAAGGAACGAAGTACTGACACATGCTACAACTTTGACAAACCTTGAAAAATATCATGTTAAGTGAAAGAAGCCAGACACAAAAGACTATACGCTATGTATATGATTCCATTACATGAAATGTCCAGAATAGGCAAATCAGTAGAGATAGAAAGTAGATTAATGATTGCTGAGGCTCCTGGGGGTTGGCGTGGAGGGGGAATGATTATTTATGTGTGTAGGGTTTCTTTTTAGGATGATGAAAATGTTCTGGGATTAGATAGTGGTGATGGTTGCACAACTTTGTGAATACACTAAAAACCACTGAATTGTACAGGTTTCAAAAACTTAAAAAATAAAATAAAGACAGACTTGACTGATCAGAGACTGCCAAGCCATTTTCTCCTTTCTTCCAGAAAGTCTGGGGCTAACCAACCTACTGTGCCTTCAATAAGACCTCAGACCTTCTCTTCCCGCTTAACCAGTAGGGCCCCAGGGAGCATCAGTGGTTGGCCAGAGTCACACACTGGCTGTGTGTTAGAGTCGGGTTCAGAACCTATCCTGGCATGCTGGCCCTCAGAGATGACCACCATCTGTACCATTCACAGTAACCCAGGATCCCAGGACCTAAGGCCTAGATGCGCAGGCCTCTGGTAAACATACTTAGACCCCAGAGACTGGCCTCGTAACTGACTCCGAAGATGTCCATTCAAACGGATTTAATGTTTCAAGAGACAGCTGAGAGAGGCCAAGTATCATTGTGGTTGAGACTATGTGCTTTGGCGGAAAACTAGTGGAGGTGGGGACGGATAAAGGAATGGGTGGAGAAAGTAAATAGGGCAACATTTTAACTTTTTTTGAGTCTAGGAAGAGGGTGTACAGGTTTCCACTGAGCTATTATTTCAACTTTTCTCTAAGTTTGAAAATTTTCGAAATAAAAATTGGGGGAAAATTTGAACAATAAAAAGGTAGAATTTGGAAAAAGGTCTGGTTCAAATCCTAATAAACTTACTAGTTATACAAACTTGCACAAGTTTCTTAACTTTTGAGCATCAATTTATTTATGTCGTGAAGATAGTAATAATTATTTTCAAACTTTTTTTTTTTGAGGAAGATTAGCCCTGAGCTAACATCTGCCACCAATCCTCCTCTTTTTGCTGAGGAAGACTGGCCCTGAGCTAACATCCGTGCCCATCTTCCTCTACTTAAACGTGGGACGCCTGCCACAGCATGGTGTGCCAAGCGGTGCCATGTCCGCACCCAGGATCCAAACCGGCGAACCCGGGCCGCGGAAGTGGAACATGCGCACTTAACTGCTGCGCCACCAGGCCGGCCCCTCAAACTGTTATTTATTACACTTTGACGTTCTGCATGTAAAACGTCTAGAATGTTCTCTGCTCTTAGTAGTTGCTCAAAAAAAGGTAAAATTAAAACAGCTATTTAAGAAACGGTGTAAGAAGCTATTCTAGAGCCTTGAGAAGCAAACGGGAAGGAACAAACTAGATTGGCATCATTCATAAATATGTTGATCCGGTATGTAAAAGCTGATGGTGTTTCTCTTTCTCTTTTTCATAGCTTTTCTCGGATATTGCAGGAAACTGTGAAAGAACTAGCCCCTCGATGTGATGTGACATTCATGCTGTCAGAAGATGGAAGTGGAAAGGGAGCAGCTCTGATCACTGCTGTGGCCAAGAGATTACAGCAGGCATGGAAGAACTAGCAGTCCCTCGAGGTTGGGCTGATGCACCTTGGGTACTGACCAGCCCTGCCGCTGGCAGATGAGTTGGTCAGGGACCAACAGGCAAGCTTCTGGCTGACTTCACCTTCTGGATGGCTGAAAGAGAACCCCAGGTTCTCGGGCACTCTTAGCATTTTGTTACTGCTTTTCAAGGGCATTAAATGGCATCTCTATTTGGCATATTTGGGCCAAAGATGAGCCAACTTGTAAAATCAAATTGTTGGACCCAAGAGATCCCCTTTTAGCAAAGTTTTCAGCTGAGGCCTGAGCTGTTAGTTCTCGCTGGCTTTGGGTCCCGCGGCTGCTGGACTCGGAAGCATATACGTGATCTGCCCATGTGACCTGACTGGCTGAGTTCCCCACTGGGATGCTTCAGCCATCGCTTGGCCGGGATTGGGCCCTCTACTTGTGGATGAACAGTGGAGAGGGATAGAGACTCATGCAACAAACTGGAGATCTAATCTAACGTGACCTTAACTTGTCATGTCGACTTCAAATGTGAAGAGAACAAAGACTTTGGAGCATTCAGCCCCAGGATGAAGAAGGGTTGATTGCCAGGGAGCCCTGTAGGAATCTATTCATGCCTAAAGTGAGTCATATCAGCACCCTGTAGGGTTTTGTTTCTCAATATGCTTGTGTCTTGGGGAAGGGTGCCATTTGGGGCACCTGTTTTTCATTTTACATCTGGTTTGTGTTGCTACTGTTGATAGTTGTTTTAAGGACTCTTAGGTATATGAAATCCAGTAAATGAATAAAAAATGTTTGATTTCCCAAGAATCTTTTCATGAGGTATTAATATTTCATCTGGGAGGCTCTGTTGATAACTTCATGCTCTGCTGATGGAATAAGGGACATGTGGAGTCAGAAATTGCTGAGAGCATCTCTTTAGTCCAAACTTCCTTCCACAGGGGGAAATAAATGGAATATCTTCTACGATATCTTTAACAAATTATTCAATTTCATTTGAATGAATACTTCGTGGATTGGGCATTTACCACATGCTTTTAAACAGCTGGAGGTGACAGAAAGTCCTTTTGACCTCCAAGCTGACCTTGACCGCCCTGGAACCTGGCGTCTCCCACATGCCCCATTAGTCTCCATTCTGCCCTCCAGAACAAAGTGGAATTGGCTTGTCCCTGACCATTTCTCCAGTGAACATCCTCTCTCTTTCTTTTTTGATCCCCCACTTTATCTGAACCACCTGTGACTTTCTAGTTTGCCTCGGTTATCTGTACACCTTTCTTATCTGGCCTAGTGGGTTATAAGCTCTTTGTTAGGTGCATTTTTGTATTGCCTCAGTGAACCCAGCATTGTGCTGTTCTTATCAGATACTTATTGGGTGGAGGCATAATTGAAAAATAAAGTGTTCCAAGAAATTTTCCTTGGAAAAAGTGGAGACAATTATCATGGGAAACAGAATGCAAATGATCTTCCAGATCATCCATGATGATTTTATTTTGATTTATGTACTTAATTCCTAGTGCTAATTGTCACCATTTGCTGAAGCAGGACATTAGACAGAATGGTGGAGGCTGGAGGAGGCTAAGAGAGAGGCCAGCCGGGGCTAGAGGCTGATGAGGGAGCTGAAGTGCCTTGGGAGATGTTTTTTCATACGTTCAGTAAACATGTGTGGAGATACTGCTATGGGAGGGTACTAGATTTACCAAAATGAATTTTTGGAATTTTAAGGTTATATCTCTCTGTGGAGATGTGGTATGGATTTATTAAATTTATTTTTTTGTATTTTGCGGTTATGCCTCTATGAGGAAATGTCTTACTTTCCCGGATTTTGTCTTAGTAAACCCCAAAACTTGTTGTCGTTGTTATCGTTCTCCAGTCCTCCCATTCCTTAAGACACCCCCAGCTCCCAGCCCCTCTCACCCCTGGTTCTACTGAGAGTCTCTTCCTTTGCCATCTTGGCTGAACAGATGGTCAGGCACGGAGATTCAGGTAGCTGTGCCACCACGTTCTCCCACGCGCTGGTCTCTCAGCACGTTTCATAGGTTTGAAGAGGTCGCCCAACCAACTTGTCTCCCAGCTCCTGTCTCTTACAAGAAAAAGAAGCCCTAAGGTATCTAGGCAACTTTGTACATTCTAATTGATAGCATCATAGAATCCTTGAACCAGATTGGAACTCCAGAGAGAGCAGACATACATCTTGCTGTCTGTGGACAGGCCAGCCCCTGAAACACCTGGGGCAATGGAGGGCTAACCTTTTCTCAGAGTTTACTAGGCAAGACCAGCAACCACACAACAAGGTAAACCGTCCTCATGCGAACCCCACAGGCTTTTCCTCTTAGGAAGAGCCACCTACATTGTCTAGTCCCGTGGTTACTCTTGCCCAGTGACCTTTTGGCTAGACAGAGCTGATGAATACAGATTTAAGAACTGTGTCTTCCCCGTGACTCTCCAAAACAGGGACCTCATTCCCATCTGTCTGTCTTCAGACATCTTGTTTTCTCTTCTTCCCGTTAGCTGAAATGGGCACTCCAGGAGATTAAGGACTTGGGTCTCATTTTTCCTGTTGTCCCCAGAGCCTACCACAGTGGCTGGCATTGAGTAGCCATTGGACAATTCTCTAAATGAATGACTGAATATTCAAACTAGCAGGTGAATGAATTATTGCTCTAAATTCTCCATTCTTATGCCTCAGCCAATGGGACTTGAGCTTTATACACAGTAGATATTCTATAAATGATGGCTCAATGAATGCCAAACACTGTTCTAGGCACCGAGGACCCCAAGACATATGAGACACCGTTCCTGCTTTGTAAGAACTCACAGGCCAGCAAGGAAGGAAAGGCATAAATATCTGCAATACAGTATGGCAAACAGGAGCAAGATGAAAACATAATTCCTGACCATGTCCTGCATCCTTTAGATCAGGAACTCACAATCTGTGTGTATGTATGTATGTGCATATGTGTGCACCTGTGTGTGTGTGTGTATGTGTGCCATAAACCTCTTTGGCAATCATCTGGAACCTATGGATCCTTCCTCAGAATAATGTTTTTAAATGAATAAAATACATAGCATTACAAAGGAAACCAATGGTATTTAATTACAGTTACTAGAATATTAAAGTGGTGATATGGTAATATATGTGCTTACTTGTTTCTTGATACACTCTGTAACAACAAGGTCCAGTGGGAACCTAATGGCAGTCATAATTCTGAAGTCCTGAGGGGTATAGACAATGTTTTGAGACGTGCAACAACAGCACAGACATGAAAATGTGTGATTTCTGCTGGAGACAAAGTCACCAGTGCAGCTAACCCTACTGTGGCTTGTTGCCCACATTCATAATGGAAGGAAATGCTAAATTTCAGTTAGAGATGATTGAAGGGGCTGGCTCCGTGGTGTAGTGGTTAAGTCTGGCACACTCCATTTTGGTGGCCTGGGTTCGCAGGTTCAGATCCTGGGCACAGACCTACACCACTCGTCAAGCCATGCTGTGGCAGTGACCCACATAAAAAATAGACGAAGATTGGCAGAGTTGTTAGCTTAGGGCTAATCTTCCTCAAGCAAAAAAAAAAAAAAAAAAGAAGAAGAATATTGGCAATGGACGTTAGATCAGATCAAATCTTCCTCACCGAAAAAAAAAAGCTTGAAAAAAGTTGCAACTTTTTCTCAAAGATGTTTATAGACTACCCTCTTTGGGCATCCCCTCCTTGGGGCCCAGGTTAATAATCCTCAATTGAAAAGTCCCGATAGACTGTACTTATTTAGGGATAGCATCCTAGATGGTAGAGAGACAGAGTGTTTTGGACTTAGAAGAACTGGGGATGCGATTTAACCTTCCTGAGCTTCAATTTCTTCATGTGAGAAAGGAGAATAATATAACAGCCTAACAAGGATATGTGAACCTCACAAGCTAAATGTGTGGACATATGGGTAAGCTCTAAGCCACTTGTACACGTGTGAGGTGGTTGTGTTCTGGTTGTTGCTGTTATTAGGGGACCTGTCTTGCCATTGGTATGATCAACTTAAACATCGACCTTAAAGTCCTTCCAAACCTGTTGCCCAGATACGTGGATGGCTAATGAAGGGCATTTGGGGGAAATGTGTTTCTCACACCCACTTCCCTCCACCCCATTGTATTGATATTCTCTTTCTTGATGTTTCACAGTTGAAACTCCTGGTGAACTATATTCTAGTAGAGGAAGGAGGGAACTTGAGAGAAATTGAATAATAATAGAAGGATCTGGTAGCTCATATTTGGAGTGGACTAAGAGGGGCAAGTAGAGTGGAAGAGTTGGATTAGTTTTGGTCCAGACAGGGAAAGAATGAAGCTGGGGAGAAAGTGAAAATTCTAACAATCTTCCAGGTTTTTTTTAACATGAGAAGGAAAGAGAGATAGGGAGAAAGGTCATTGACAATTTAGGGGACTCAGAATGGCTTGGGGATTGGCCTAAAGAGCAGGGATGTACTGACACATTCAATCACATTCGCATCATAGTCTGTAGGTGGCCCAGTTCCTGTCTAGTCACCTCTGGGCCAGCTAGCATGGTCCAGAGTGGCCTTCCCCAAAGGATGTCTTAGGTCTAACTGGACACGCCCATGTCCACCAATCTCTGGAGTCACCCTTTCCTTTAATACTCAAGTAAAATGATTCATTTCTCCATCCTACACACTGCAGAGAGGTCTATCTCCCACCATTTCAAACATTTCTGCAGGGAATGCTTATGTCCTCCAGCTGCTACTCGAATTCCTGCTTCCAGTTTGCTCCCCAGTCATCCCTGTGGCTCTCACAATTCCTCTCTGCTTCGCCTGATCTCCAGAACTGTCCCCTCCTCTTTGATTCCCCCAAACACCATTAATCCAAGGCCAATGTCTGGAACAGATTTATCTAAAGGTTTTATTGTGGAGGGAAGCTAATTCACAGAATAGGAACAATTTAAACATGAATATGACATATCAAAGTTCTATGACCAGCCCCACCCCTGAGAATTTCTCACTGGCCATCTTTCTCCATAGGCGCCGCTGGCTACCGTGTTTTATGGGTTCTTCTCACTTTTTCTGGGGACTTCTTTCTCATATTATCGTCTTCTCTGAAATTTTGACAAGTCCCATAAAATGAAAAATTCCTGCTGTTTTATTTCACAAAGCAGGTGATTCTGCTGTGGTCTCAATCCTCTCCTAGGCCAGCCCAAGGAGCCTCACCTTTTCCAAGCAAGAAGGCCCATTGAGGTGTTTCCATAAAAAGAAGGTTTTTCTCTCTGAGAGGAATTATTCTGTTCTCTTAGAGTCACACTACAGCAAGCTTTTTTCCTTGACATATAGTAAATTGCACATATTTAAAGTGTGTAATTTGATGACATCCTTACCAGGATCAAGATAATGAACATATCTATCACCACCAAAAGTTTCCTCGTGGCACCTTGTAGTCCCTCCCTCCCGCTCCTCCCCGCCTCCCCCATACTCAGATAACTACTGATTTGCTTTCCCTTTCTATATAATTTAGTTTGCATGTTCTAGAATTTTATATAAATGGTATGCTTTTTTGATCTGCATCTTTCAGCATATTTATTTTGAGACTCATTCATGTTGTTGCAAGTATCAAGTTTTTTCCTTCTGTCGCTGAGTATTCCCTTGTGTAGATGGTCATTGTTTGCTGTCCGTTCGCCTGTGCATGGACATTTGGGTTGTTTCCAGGTTTTGGCGATTACAAATAAAGCAGCTATGAACATTGTAAACAAGTCTTTGTATGGACATATGCTTTCATTTCTCCTAGGTAAATACCTAGGCGTGGAATAGCTAGGTCATTTGGTTAAATTTTTAGGTAAAAGCCAAACTAGTTTCCAAAGTGGTTGAGCCATTTTACACTCCCATCAGCAGTATATGAGAGTTCTGGTTTCTCCACATTTTGCCAACATTTGGGCTGGTTGGCCTTTTTAATTTTAGACATTCTAATAGGTGTGTAGTGATGTTTAGTTGTGGTTTAAATTTGTATTTCCCTGAGATTGAATATCTCTTCATATGTTTACTGATCAAATGTTTTCCTTCTTTTGTGAAATGCTTTATTCATGGCTTTGCCTATTTTTAAATTTAGCTGTTTCTTTTTTATTGATTTGTAGGAGTTCTTTATATATTATGGATCTAGTCCTTTGTCAATTTTAGGCATTCCAAATATCTTCTCCCCATTGTAGCTTGTCTTTTCATTTTCTTTAATGTTTTGATGAGCATAGTTCTTAATCTAATATTGTCAAAATTATCAATCTTTAAAAAAATTTAGCATTTTTTGTGTCTTGTTTAACCACTCTGCTAACCAGTTTTCAAGGTCACTGGTCTTTTTTTCTGCTGTGTCCAATCTGCCATTAAGCCTAGTCAATGAATTCTTTTTTTCTTTGCTTTTTTTAAATGAAATTCTACATGAGAAATGCTTAGCACTGGACATGACTAGGGGGAATGCAGAATAAATCATTATCAGCATTAAATTAAAAGAAAATGTTTTTTGCTATTTTTTATATTGATTTCCAGTTTTATTGGGTAGTGATAAGAGAATGTCTCGTGTAGTATGACAACATAAAACAAATTGGGATTTAAATTTTTTTAATTGATATATAATTGAAATATAACTGTATTAGTTTCAGGTGTACAACAAAATCATTTGATATATATATTTATGATACATATATATTTATTATATATATATATTTAATTAACATCCATCAGCACACATAGTTACAAATATTTTTTTCTTGTGATGGGAACTTTTAAGAACTACTCTTTTAACAAATTTCAAATATATGATACAGTATTGTTAACTATAGTCACCATGCAGTACATTACATGCTCAGGCCTTATTTATCTTAAAACTGGAACTTTGTATCTTTTTTCAAACTTCACTCATTTTTGCCCACCCCCAACCCCTGCCTCTGGCAACCACCAATCTGTTCTCTGCATCTATCACTTTGGTTTTTTTCAGATTTCGCATGTAACTGACGTGATATAGTATTTCTTTTTCTCTGTGTGACTTATTTCACTTAGCCTAATGCTCTCAAGCTTCATCTATGTTGTTGCAAAT